ATAACTTTCAAACGGTACTTTTTTTTGTCGCACGTCAAAAGTTGAGGAATCTCAAGAACTACACAGCTTAAAATTTAATTTTGAATCGTTAGAGCCGTTTTTGAGCAATCAGAAAAAAGCTTAAAAAATAGGAATAAAAAAACTTTCGAAAAAGAAAAAAAGCTTAAAAAAATCGGAATAAAAAAAACTTTCGCCAATAATTTTAAAACAGTGGTATTTAGACAAATCATTTTTGAAAGGCGTAAATAGTATTTCGAAATATAATACATATAGCACAAGCCTGTAGCTTTAGTAGTTCACTAGTTAGAAATGTATAAAACTCAGCTATTTATAGCTGTTTTCCTGCAAAACTATCTAGTTTTTCCAAAAGTGGTAAAACTAATGTTTCTTATATTAAGCTGTTTAACATCATCTAAAATTTTCAGGATCCTATAACATCATTTTGGGACAAGCGGACAAACTAACATACTGACAAACAGAATTATTTTTTTCATTTTGAGAATTCCCCTAAAACATTGTTTTGCAAATTTCTTTTGAACGGAGTATCCAATTTTGACAGTTGAGGTGTCCTTCGACACGTATTTAAAGTGAGAATATAACTAGGTTAACAGCGGGGGGTATTTATCCCCACCGGCCCCAACAGATCAAATTTTCAAATTTTCACTTTTACACTTTCACCACTCTTTCTCCTAAACTAATTAAATTAATTTTCTTAAAGTCTTGGTATGCAATCATCTTTGTTTTTGTAATACCTTTCGATTGATGTATCACTCGTAACCATCGGACGATTACTGTAGGTTTTGTATTTTTTTGTGTATATATAGTAGTCGCCTTCACACACCCTCCTGGTGCGCTTCGTCACTACGTGGACTGCCGTCCACAGCGATAACGAAATTTCATTTCAATTTTCACAAAACATTTAAAAATGTGGGCGCCAGACGGGGCTTTGACGAATCTAGTATACCCTTTTACTCTACGAGTAACGTATAAATATGTACATAAATTTTCATTTTTTTTTTAATTTGGACTCAAAATGTGTTTTTATTTTACCGAAATCTGGTGCTTATATCATAAATCGGACTTGGTTTTAACAGCAAGGGTATAAGAATTTCGGCTTGCCGAATATGGCTACATGTTGTACTTTATGTTTATCTAAATGTTGGCAATCAAAAACTTGAATAAGCAAGTGGCACGTAAATGGAAATTTTGTTGCCCGCATTGCCAGAAAAATGAGGTAACATAATTTCACAGTAGAGTTGATGTTCCGAGGTCGGAAATCTTATTCTCTAAAGTCTTTTTGAACTTAATATGATTATACTGGAAATATCAAAATATACATTTGAAACGTTTGCAACGGGTAAATAATAACTTTTAGAAAATTATTTGATATTAGAATTTTTAATTTATTATTAGGTGAGCTAAAAGGATTATTTTTATATTCAAGTTATATAATTTGAAATGCGAGGTATCGAGTTATTCGACAATTGCGTTTAAGTATGCCTAGGGTATATATACGTAAAAGCTTTGGGCGTAATCTATTTCTCTTGAATTGTTAGACTTGTTAACAGTAACATTTCGATGAACATTTTATATGATAAATTCTGTCAACGGTCGACATCTTTCATGTGCGATAAGTGGAATAAGGGCTATCCGATATGCGATAGCCAAAATAAAGTAGAAAATAGTCAATCCACGGCAGAACGTACACGTAAGCTAAGCATTCTTCTACAGTATCAAACGGAAACTCTTCATGTAAGTGTCATTTTCTGGCTTCGTAATGTTATTATTATTAGTTAGTTTTTCTTGAAAGAGTCAAAAATCGCCATATTCAATAAAATATAAATATGAAGTGTCAATTGCGAAGTAGATAAAAATGTAAGCAGCGATGTTTCTTTGCCAGTACTCAAAGATATATTTATTTTGAAGTTGGTTAGCTGAGCCACGGGTATCTGATAGTCGAGGCATTCCACTATAGCAATTTCCCTTGTTGACCATTCAATTGATGTTAAACAATTATGTTTTTAATTTGATTATCAGAAATGTAAAAATGCCAGGCACCTTATTTAATGTGTTCCATCCTACAAAACTTTATTTCCATAATCTGAACTTTGGCACTTGATTTGGTGTTATACCCTTGCAGAGGGTATAATAATTTCAGTCAGAAGTTTGCAACGCACTGAAGGAGTCGTTTCCGACCCAAAAGGTATATATATTCTTGTTCAGAATCAGTAGACGGGTCGATCTAGTCATGCCATCCTGTTTATTTCTACGCGAACTCAGTTTTAAAGCCATCTCGGTGCCTTCCCACCAAAAGTCTTATTTCTCTTGCAGGTAGTATATAATTCGGAACGATCCTGACCGGTCAACTATATCCTACAGCTTCCATAGGAATGATCAAAAAATAATTTTAAAGCAAGGAAGAACACTATAGTCGAGTACCTCGACTATCAGATACCCGTTACTCAACTAAAGGGAATCAAGGGAAATGGAGATATGCAAGCCGCAAAGCGAGATTGAAATGCGCCACCTACCCGCGATTATTATGTGGGCGGTAGACAGATTAAGCGTCATGGGCGTTAGAGTGGGCGTGGAAAATGTTGTTTGGGTCAACCGATAGGTATTGACGAGACTAATACATTTCACTTAAAATTATTTTATAGCATGAAAATTGTGGGCGCCACAGGCTTAGGCGGTTTGTAGGCATTAAGGTGGGCGTGGCATATTTGCGTAACAAACTTGCGCTGCGTACACGGCTACGGAATCTAAATCTGAAATCCCAATTCCCTATCTTTGATAGTATCCGAGATAACAGCCTTCATATTTACGAATTTTTGAAGTTTGTGGGCGTATTGATGAGAACAATACCATTCAGTTAATATTTTTATTCTAACATCAAAACTGCAGGAGCCACAGTTTTGGGCGGTTTGTGGGCGTTAGAGTGGGCGTGGCACGCTGCTGAAACAAACTTGCGCTGCAAGAAGTTCAGGAATCTGCTTGCCAAATCCCAGTAGCCTAGCTCTTGTAGTTTCCGAGATCTCAGCGTTCATCCGGACGGACGGACAGCCGGACATACATAGCTAGATCGACTCAGCTAGTGATCCTGATCAAGAATATATATACTTTATAAGGCGGAATCGCTTCCTTCTGCCTGTTACATACTTTCCGAATAAATAAAATAATAAATAATAATAATAATAAAATAAATTATAGGTCTGGTGTTTTTTGACATATTAACCTCTACTATTAAGAATATCATTCTTTTAACACTTAAAAATTTCGAATAACAACTAAAAAAAATCGTACGAATGTATCATATAGCTGCCAAAGGAACAATCGGATAATTAATGGAAAAATAATAGGAAAATAATTTTAATTCGTTAGTTTTGATCATATTCTCTTTTACTCCGGTGTAAAAATCGGATGACTATATAATTTGCTATATTTTAAAATAAGGAATTCAATTGAATACAAATCGGATGACTGTATTCTATTGGAAGGATCGGAAAGTTAATGTCAAAATGATACAATACCCGTTATATTTCGTTTTCGGTAAAACATATAACAAGTTAAGCTCTTACTAAAATTAGAGTATCATGAAAAAATTGTTTCTAAAACCTTTTTTCGTGTTATTTTTAAACACAAGTACCTACTTTAATTAAAAAGTCTACAAAATCTCCATGCAAAAAGGAGGTAAATTAAATTTACCGCCTTTTACTTTTTTATGGAAATTTTCTTTTGTGGTATTGTTTATTGAGGTGAGTTTTAGGCTTAAGCCGAAAGGACAAGCTTCCTAACGGGATATAAAACTTTATTTTTTATACGTTAACTACTATCGACTCCCCTATTATTCAGCAGCTTCTTAGGAAACTAATGGATTAACTTAAATTTATATATACGATATTCGTTTTCTTCCTAATATTAAAATACACATAGCTATTCCTAACTTGCTAAAAAGCTTTTCGGACAAAAACATGCAAAGCTGTGCCGGGTGTCCAGGTCTCTTTTTCAAACTAATTGGTGTGAAGTTGGAATTCGCTTGAAAAGCGTTTCTTCAACGCGGTTTGGGGACACATAATAAAATTAGAGATTAATGAGTGCAATTAAAACACTACCAAATGTAGTATTCCTTATCAGCAAAAATAATAAATACAGATTTAAATTGTTGAATTCGACAAATAAGCTTTCAAACTCTAAACAGTACATTGACTTAAAGAGCGTTGAATAGGAAATGGTCGAGGCATGCGCAGAATGCAGCCAAATTATTCTCTTAAATTGTCGCTTTCGTACTCAGACTTGAAATTTTTTGTCTGTATACATGAGCTTTTCCAAGGTAAATGTACTAAAAACTAAAGTTTTTAGTGCGTAAGCGTCAACCGCACAAATGCTTATTTGCTGTAGCTCCGTGAAAACGAAGCTAGGCGCAACAAAGAAGAATTTATTAAGTTGCAGTTTACATTTCAACGTTTTTCAAATCACATCACTGCACAAATAATTGTGCGTAGTATTAATATACAGTATTAGTTGAGAAAGACAGAAGAAATAATTAAAGAACATAATTTTCAATTTGTTCAATTGCGTATACATAATTTTGTGCAAAATAAAAACTTTGCCATGTTCAAGGCTTTAAGAGAGTTTTGTTTGAATTAAATTACATTTGTGGCAGCTGCAAACGCCCTTTAATGTCCGAACACTGGCTAACATACGAGTAAAATTTATTTCAATCTTAAAACTGGAGCTAGAAAAACTATAGTACAAATTTCAGCATAGAGTTAAATTTAAAGTTAGAACCCACAGATTTAATTTATTGGATATAAAACAATTGAAGATTTCTAAAAAATAAAGTGAATGTAATATTTTTTTTGAGTATTTTTAAAATGCTGTTAAAAGTCTGGTTTGATTGAAATATGTTTTCAACATATATACATATTATTTGGAACATTATTTAATATGTATGTATACTTGTTTTTTATTTTTTCACTAAAATCTGTATATTGTTTTAGGTACATATGTATATAAACATTCAGTGTTTCAGGCGCTTCGCATTGATTATCGGATTAAACGTATGTATTTTACAAAGAGCAATAACAGCAGATCCTAAAAAGGCAACATTATTTAGGTTAGAACTATTTGAGAACTAATTTCAAAAACGGTTCCACAAGCCTATACGATGAACACCTCTCAGCCGTTGGCGCCAGGGATTCCAGAAAAAAAAAGCCAGTTCCAAAAGCGGGACCCAAAATCCAACACCGAGGAAAGGCTTATCTTCGCAGAAAACGCTCTAAAGAGCCAGATTCAAATAAAGGATCAGTTACGCCACCAACAACAATCAACTATGTATGCGACGTCACTAGCCAACTCTCCAGCTGCCGCTTCAGTTCGGGCACAATTCCTTAATCAACCAGCAGAAAGACCTGATTACCCGCTGAGGGCTAATTCTCTCCACCATGTAAACTTGACCCCAGCTCAGAAACAATTATCGCAAATGCAACCACCAATATGTAAGTCGCCCATAGGCCTGGATACGTCTTATTCCAGTTATCAAAACACCAATGGAAGCATGTTGTCGATAAAAAGTGAACAGCAGTTGTGTCAAATATACAATTCGCAGCAACACTCCGATTACATTATTTCCGATTATATGGATAAAATTGCTACGCGGATTAGTTTACTCGAAACAGAGTTAAAGTTTGCTTGGCGTGCATTGGACTTGCTTTCTACTGAGTATGGAAAGATTTGGGTTCGTTTGGAGAAGCTTGAAAACATATCAATAGAACAACAGTCTGTAGTTAGTAATCTTATGGACCTTATCGGAGCAGCAAATCAAGAACAGCAGCAAAGCAATTTCGAAGGATTAGAATATCCTTCATTTCAGGATGAAGATCAATTGTTACCCTTGGTAATGGACGATACTATGGGTATAGACATGGTCTTAGAGGCCGAACCATCTGATCCGGACTATAATAAAGAACTAAGTTTTGGAGATCATAATCGCACTGTAGTAACAGATCTTACGCAGGCTCGCGAGTCGGATGTATTTTTAAATTCGGCTTGTGCATTAGATTCTAACAATCCTTATCTTAATTTCGAAAATATTGATTTGAATGACGAAAGATTGAGCACTGAAACACCAAATGAGGAATCGAGAATAAAACTTTACTCAGATTCCAACCTTATGTTCTATGAGCAGCAGCAATTTTTGGCAAATAATGCACGTGCCGAACTTATGAAGGAATTTATAAATGGACGTAGAGTTTTAAATGAGATTTCGGCATCCTCAGGTGCATCATCGAAAGTGACCAGAAAATCTACTAATATTTCACAGCCAAGAGAAGGACTCAAAAATGACCAATCGTATGTCGATTCAAATGGTGATCACATAAGACAGACAAGCAACGAAGTAGATAGCCTTATTGAAGATGTTAAGTTTTTTCGTTTAGCAGCCTCTAAAACCGGTGAGGGCGGAAACCAAGTATTACCCATTGAAGACACCGGAGGAACGCAAATCTCATCTATTGTCAATGAAATGAACGAATCCTTTTACAAGAAACTTAACGAGGCATATCGTGACAACGACTTGAGTTCTGAGATATTCAAGGTGGATGCATTGCTCCATCAGTCTGAAGCAACCCACGAACAAATTTCAGCTATCAGTGGCCACTTAGCTTCTTCCTTAGCCTTAAACAATGAGGAAGAAAACGATGTTACAAAAGTACAGTCCTTGGAAACGTCAGAAACCAGTCTCGTAAGGCAGTCAATCAACAATTTCAGTAAGGAGTCAAGAAAACATCGAAAAAAAAAACATCATACAAATGAAATGGACATGATAAATAAACTGAAATGTATCCTTGCAAAAGCACAATCATCACAGATTATTAACGATACTGTAGGATTGGGTACGGATCTCTTAGGTAGGGGTGATCAAATTGAAGTTGGAGCCGACAACATACAGAATGGGTTAGACAATCTACGACCAACTAGTATCAGCTGTTTAAGTGATGACATCCGACTAATTTTGGACAACATAACAGAGACTTTAATAGAAGAAATAAATAAAATTGCAGGCCTTCAATCTTTAAGTGCATCACAAATTAGTCAGTTACGCAACACAGTATGGTCAGAGGAAAAGTTTTTTCACAAACTCAGTCAAGTCGATAAAAAATTGACTCTGCTCCTTCTTAACCCGATTACTTTATCTGAAGAATTGCGAAGGCTTCGAATTACGAATACGAATGAAAAATTTGTTTTAGTAATGAAAAAGTTCAATAAAAATATTGACACTTTAAAAAAATTAGTTGGTAGCTCACTGGACGATTTTAAAAAAGACAAACCGCGTGCAAATACGATCTCATCTCACAGTCTCAATCCATCTCTCACATCCAAAAGTTGTAGTTTTAGTGCACATTTATTGAGAAATAATTCCGATCTAGATGAACAGCTAAAGATTCTTGAGACTCAAGAGATTGAAATAAACCGTAAGAAGAAAATAGACCAAATTGTAAGCGGGCTTGCTGAGGAAGTAGACAAACCTTTCAACTCTGATATTGAATATGAAAGCAATTACAGCTATACCAACTCAACCGATGATTTTAGAAGTTCCACAAAAAATATTTACAATGAGGATGAGTATATAAAGTCTTTAAAAAAGAGTCTGGAGCGTCACAACAGCATGATTTTTCTACTTCATTTACAAAATCCTGAGAAACACAAAGTGTCGGCTGATATGAATGATGCAATAATGGATGCAAACCGATCCAGTCTTAGTCCGCCACCACCAGCTCCCAACGATATCCTTATCTTTAACGAGGCCGTAAATGAACTCAGAGGAGATATTGACTCTCACCAACAAAAGAATGCGAAGTCAGACTCGGGCCTATCGTCGATGAGCGGTTGGTCACCCAATTCCCCCGTGTCAGCTGGAATCCAAAACTGCAATTTTTTCTGTAATAATGGCGTAGAGAAAAAAGGTAAAGATACATTGCAAACGTATCATTCATTGCCTTTAGCTGGAAGTTCAAACTTTAATAGTTTACCGGCCGGCTTTGACAAACCTAATATTGGTAAACAGAACGATTATGTAATATCAGAAGAAAACTTCAACTATATTCAAGAGCTTTCTAAAAATTTACCCATTTGCTCTGCCTATGAAAATAAGTCTATCTTTGATATGAATTCTGACTTGAACGAGATCGAAAAATTTTCAACAGTTGACGAAATGCTAGAATGGGACCAGATTAATGAACTGGATAAAAAAAAAATGTCTACCGAACGGTTAAATTCTGCCCGTATGCCAGACCTGTTGACTACCCCAACACAAAAACCGTCTTTGAAGGCCACTGTAACAAAAAAAAAATACCCAAGTGAGAATCTTGAAACTGTCGAACGGCCACTAGATGTAAACATTTCGAAGTATAGCCGTGTGGAAGCAACTTTGGATCTTGAAAAATCGCAGCATCAAACAAACAGACCCTATTTGACAGATAGACTTGTATTTTATCCGTCATCCAACTCTATTACCGATTACAATAGCAGCAATAATTTAGATTATTTAGGACAACAAAATCAAGTACGTTTTATTAAGGAATCCGGGTACATACCAATTGTTTCACCTCCACCGATTCATCTTGAATATAATGCTAAAAATTATTCTGAAGCTCATGTGCCAATTCTTTTTAGCTTAACCAATTCAAGTCAATCACAGCACGGTTTTGAATCTGCATCTAGTGTCAACTCTGCTGATCCTTCTATCCATGCTAAAAAACATGAACAGTTTGTATCAAGACATTCGTCTGCTAAGCCTCCAAAGGTATGGAACAAGCTAAATACCCTTTTAACAGATAATCTAAAGCTTAAACGTATATCGAAGTTTAATCGATCTCAGTCCTTACCCGGTGATGTGCAAAGTCAAGGCAATCAAAGACAGCATCGTGGCCAGGCAGGGTCGTGTCCGTTAATTTCTCACAAGCGGTCCAACGTAAGCGGAAGCCAGGTTCAGTTATCAAAAAGATTACAAAAGCTACCAATGCGTCTTATACGAAGAGCGACAGGAGCCCCATTCGTCCGACGGCTGTCTCATCCCGACTCTCCTGTTTCATTAGATTCCGCTGCCGATGAACCTACTCCAAGTGATACTGGTGTACACAAAAAATCACTTTCGTCGAAAATGAACAATCTAATGCAAAAGGCGAAGACTTACAAACGGCACAGCTCTCTCCTGCGCCGCGGCTGTAACATGTCGGACTCTGAATTAGATATGCCGGACTTTACTTCATCGGATAACGATAAAAGCTCTAAAACCGGAAGTAAAATTATGAGGAATCAATTCGAGGATGATGTAGAGGAAGATTTTAAACAACCCACCTGTGCCTATAAGAATGAAAAGGAATTAGGTGGTTCAATGGAGGAGGTAAAGGACAGTCTGTCACATAATTTATTCGCTGTTGTAGGGGACCTTAAAAAGATTCAAAGCCCCATATCAACCATTGCTGTCTCGACAACAAATCCTCTCGACAACAATTCCATTACAAATAGTAATGAAATTTGCAATGTGGAAAATGTTACCATTAAAATGCCAGAGATTCTCTTGGAAACATCTTCACAGGCGTGCCTTCAAAAACTCAACTCAGTTTATATTGACGACCTCGGCGATGAGGACATATTTGGAAACTCGGCTAACATTGATGTGAATGTCCCCACCCTAAGTATTCATGAAACAACTGAAGATGTTGGGGATACAGAATTAAGTGTATTCCTTACAACGGCAACAACAACAACAACAACAACAACAGCAGCAGCAACAACAACAGTAACAACAACAGTCACTCGTAATCTCAGTGCCAGTGGTGTTTTGTGGGTCACGCAGCAGTGTTTAGACCTTCCAAACAATCCTGGCTATGGGTCGCGGGAAGATGACGATAATCGAAGTCAACATTCTGCTCGCACTCTTTCTTCTTCGCGGAGGCAAAGCACTGAGGATAGCATAGACACAGACGACGAATACTTTTATTATGAGCTTCGCCAGCTAGAGGAACAGGAACAGCAACGTGCAGAGCTTTCTGGAATCGCATCTGGCGAACCACGTGATGATAACGAGGTGTTATTTTCCCAGATAGGGCAACTGGTCCAAAACGATATTAACGGAGGAGATCGATTTCGATCTGATGTCTGTAAAAATGACGAGGAATTTACTACCTTTTCTCCAAGTGAAAGTGTAAAGTTACGGATGTCTGAAGTATTTAGTGAGCTTAAAAGCGTCGTTAATTTACAGGCAGGCGTATTTGTTCACGATACTGTTGAAGAGTTTGTGGTTGCAAAGGCAGCAGGTGAAAAATTTGCAACAGTATGTGACATGCATAGCGCTTGGCAGGATGTAAACGGCGATTTCCAAGTGGCAGCCTCGGAAATGGATTCGAATGACGATGCCGAGATGGAAGAAAAGGACGCGGGGACTGAATTTTATCTACATAAAAAACATCGAAAATTGCGACGATTAAAGAAAAAAGCACGCGAACGAAATGTAAATATTTCTAACGGTGAAGCCAGTTCAAGTTCGTCATGCCTTTCTGAAAATGAATGTGAACAGAAGGAACATAATCGACTCTTTGACCAATGTATTACCAAATTCGACGCAGAAAATGAAGAAAAAGATAGACCAATTAAATCGACGGCATCTAGTGAGACATCTGGACCTGATACGCCGGCAGAGATGAGCGATGTTGAGATAAGCGAAGCAGAAAATTGTATTGAAGATGATGGAAACCCTTCGCTGGACAATCCAAATTTTCTTTTACATTTAAATGAAAAGTCTAAACCACAATTTGATAAAAATTTAAAAAACAAGCCCCTGGAACCTGCTCAGAGTAATACGCATTCATTGGAGAATATTAAAAACGAATTAGTTCCATCTCAGAGCCCTAAAAAGTTAATTAGTCAAGAATCAGATTTTGATGGATCCCAGGTTATAGGTAGCAATGGTGGAGCGGGTCTTGGCAGTAGCAAGTGGAAGTTATTAAAAACTTTAAAGGAGCGCAAGATCGAGGAGAAAAATAATCAAGATAAAATTAAAGAAGATGAATTGACCAAGGACAAGGAAAAGGTAATTAAAGCTAAGTTTATGACAGACAACAAAAATATATAATTTATACCCAGTGTAATCATGTCAGTAACTATGATGTTTTGGCGTCGGATTGAATCACAATTTTTATACCGGTTACTCGTAGAGTAAAAGGGTGTACTAGATTCGTCGGAAAGTATGTAGCAGGCAGAAGGAAGCGTTTCCGACTCCATAGAGTACAAATATTCTTGATCAGGATCACTAGCCGAGTCGATCTAGCCATGTCCGTCTGTCCGTCTGTCCGCACGAACGCTGAGATCTCGGGGACTATAAGAGCTACCATACTGGGATTAGGCATGCAGATTCCTGAGATTCCTGCCCAGCGTAAGTTTGTTTCAGAAATGTGCCACGCCCACTCTAACGCCCACAAACCGCCCAAAACTGTGGCTCCTACAGTTTTGACGCTAGAACGGAAACGCTTCCTTCTGCCTGTTACATACTTTCCGACGAATCTAGTATACCCTTTTACTCTACGAGTAACGGGTATAAAAACGATTTCACATAAAATCCGATGTCTAAAAATTTATTTTCCCAGTTGTAAGTTTTTCGGTTTTCCCTTACAACCTATTTAAGGAATCTGCCTAAACAACTCGTTGTTCTAAAAAAACACGCAGAAACAAAAGAACTACCTAAATAAAATGATTAAAGTTTTTAAATCATATTATGAATGGTCTTCTCTCATAACAGTCAACTATGAATTTGTTTTTCTTTTGACTCGGATTTCTGTAAAGGAATCATTCGGTCTTAAAAATATTACCTTTAAGAATTCCTTTGAAGGCCATTTTGGATTACAGAAAGAAAAAGTGGACAAAACCCTTTCTCAAAAGACTTCTTTCCATTGCAGGTAGTATATGGGCATTTCCAGGGATCGCGAACATACGTTCGTACTCACTTAGTTCAAATGAAAAAAAGAAAATAAACGTTTTCTGAATTTTTTTGGTGTTCGATAGCATTTTGTTAGCTCTTTGCTTAGTGTAAATGATGGGGTTTATTGAGCTATCATTTTCATAATATTGGCACAAAACATGCGGTCGCGAACGTACACAAAATGGAAATCGACTTTGGCTTAATCTAGTAAAATGCAAAAATTTGCGAATTGGGGCGGAATACTCTAAAGCAATAACTTTACTTTTAAAATGGGTTCATGTAGCTTTCTGTCGAGTCTGCTCCCAAGAAAGTATCTCCATTTGTTTTTTATACCCTTGCAGAGGGTATATTGATTTCAGTCAGAAGTTTGCAACGCAGTGAAGAAGACGTTTCCGACCCCATAAAGTATATATATTCTTGATCAGCATGACTAGACGTGTCGATCTAGCAATGTCCGCCTGTCCGTCCGTTTCTACGCAAATTAGTCTCTCAGTTTTAAAGCTATCGGGCTGAAACTTTCCAAAAAAACTCATATATTTTTTGCAGGTAGTATATAAGTCGGAACCAGCCGGATCGGACAACTATATCTTATAGCTCCCAAAGGAATAATCGGAAAAAAAAATAAAAAAATTATATCTTTGGTATTTTTTAACATATAACCTCCTAAGCTTGGAAATAACATTTTTTAATTAGGTTTGAATTTCGAATTAAATTGTATCGAAATCGGACGACTATATCATATAGCTGCCATAGGAACGATCGAAAAATTGGTGGGAAAATTATATGTTTTTTGACATAATATCTTATACTATTGGGAATATCATTTTATGTATTTTAAAATTTTATAATTATAACTGCAAGGGTAACTTCCTTTCTTGTTTGTATTTTTTAATTTAATAATTATAAGGGTATACAAACATCGGCTTGCCGAAGTTAACTTTCTTTCTTGGCTTTATTTTGCAATCACTGTGTATACCATACCCAAACGTAAGGGTTCCAAATGTACAATCCTTGATTAATACTTAATATTTTTTTCAGAATGGCGGTGGTACTGGAGATGTTGGATTACGTACCAATGGACATCCTGGTGACAATCCGTTCTATAGCAATATTGACAGTATGCCGGATATTCGGCCTCGTAGAAAATCTATTCCCCTTGTTTCTGAGCTGGTAAGTTCTTTAATATTACACTACACTGAGCAGCAGTGTTTTTGGTGATGGCCAACGGGAATTCTAAAACGTTACTATGTTTATACGAACGAAAGCTATATTTGCAATTGTGCTTAGAATAGTCTATACTAACATTATTTTATATGGTTCAACCTGACTCTTTTACAAATCTCTTCTGTTATCCTTTGTTATTATTAGCCTCAAAGCAAGATACACCCAGTCGTAAGTTAGAGAACACATTCCGATAAACAAAACTCTCTTTTTACACAACTCAAAACTTAATCTATTCATACTGATATCGAAATTGAAGATGACTGTATGAAAACGGTTATTGCCAATGGTAATGGGAATTAAAACGAAACACGAAATTTGACGTTTTAATTTTAGGACGGTTTGCATATATATATCTGCTTTCTTGTCCGGTGTTTCGATAAAAGGGAAAGATTCTTAACTTTCAAAGTAATCGGGAAATAGCCCATTCCAGAATATGTTCACTTCCGACTGGGTGTATATAATTTTATTAAAGTCATATAAGTAAACATATTTGTGACAGTGGCGGATCCAAGATTTTGTTGTGGGGTGTTTAAAGAGCTAAAGTAAAACATCTTCTATAATTTAAGCGTTTGAACTTTCAAACATCTCCGTGGAGCCGTCACTGATTTATAAAAATTCATAGATCCTTTAGTCTAAAGGACACGATATTAACCCTATTGTCTATGACCTTTTGCTTACTTTTACATACTCCTATAAAAATGTTGGTATCTTTCGTCGATGATTTGTTGGACGGCAGGTTCTCAAGGTATAGACTAAAGACTTTCAACCTAAACAATTTTATTACATTTTTATTAGCCGTTTTAAAACTACGAAAAACTTTATATTTACATTTAAAACTCACTGATACATGCCAAGTGCAACATTTATTGTTGTTTTTTGTTTTAAATGTAGTTTTGCACCGTAGACTTCATAAAACACAAATTTAAGCGAAAACTCCTAATAAGGGAATGGGGAATAAGGGAATCTAAATTCAAAAATTGTCAACGATTCAATTTTAAAATGGATTAAGTAATATACAATTTCAATACAACTTTAAAACATTCGTACCATACGTACAGTATGAAGCGCAGAAGAAAAGAATAAAATACAAAAATGTCATGCATGCGGGCAAAACATTGTGTGAATCCATTATAGGGCATTAAATCACTCGTTTCAAAGCATCCACAAAAATTGTATGCGTTGGAAAAGCAAAGTATGGTTTTTGTAGCAACACTTATTTCAGAAGTATTTTTTATTGAAAATAAATCAGGTCTTAATTACTTAATTAAGGTATGTATAAAAAGTAATCAACATAATAGTCCTTTGCAAGATAGTTTTCATAAATAGGGAAATTACTTTCATATTACGGAATAGTACAATTTCTTATAGTTAAAAATTGTTATTATTTTTAAAAATCTGGACGAATTCGTTTTCAAGACGATTAATTACAAAGTTTTCTATCATTTATTTTACGTCAAACATAGGATTTTAGGTCGAATAACTGGGAACCATTTTTGGAGTGTCATACAAATACAGTATCATTTCTTCAATCCGAAAACATATTTCCGAATATGTCAACCAACTTAATCTAGCTATCCCAAAAAAATTATATTTTGATCATGTCAACCTATTTACATTTATTTACATTTTCTAAGAGAAGTCTAAATTATATTCTTCTGATAAAATTTTATTTTTTGATATGTAGCTTACTTTTTCTGGCTTCCTAAGCAGAAAACTTGAAACTTTAAACGGAATTATTTCCAAATAGTGTTTTTTTTATTTAAAAGTCCGATCGTTTCATTTTCTTCTACTTATAACAAGGAAATGTGTTGTCGCTGAACGCTGAATTTTTTTTGTTTTTAATATGAATAAATTGTTTATTAAGAATAAATTAAAAATTTTCTTTATACTTGAAGTTAGTATTACCTGTTCTTCCGGAATGCTGTCCCCTTGAAATTCGATGAAATGTCAATTTAAATTAATGTAATACAATTTTTTTTTTAATGACTTTATAAGTGTTCATTATAAAAAAAAAATACTTCTTACGCGTAATTCTGATATAAGGAGGTTTTTCGTATGCAGTTTTCTTTACCATCAGCATGTTACAGTCAAAATGCACCAAGAAGGATGATGGCAGTTCCTGGTAGAGTTGGACCCACAGATCACTAAAAATAAGAAAAAACATTTTTGTTTGTTCTTTTTTCAAATTCTATTCTATTCATTTATTTGACTTACTTAACTTAACATTGAGTTAAAGGGTGACATTATAGTTGTAAACTAAAGAATATATAATCTACATTTATTAGGCGCAACTCGAGATATAATTAATAACATGGAGGTACAAAAAAAAATGTTTTAAAAAACTCTTTAAACAAACTTATCCATCAAAAATTTGTACATCTTCTTTTTCGTGATCTAGGGGTTGAACTCTACCAGGAACTACCATCATCCTTCTTAAGGCATTTTCAAAATATTATTTTGTAAGCTAGTGCTAGCGATAATGACACAAGGATGGTCCTAGCGCCTATAATATCTTCATGACTTCCAAGAGTATATCATTCAACAAATCCTGAAAATATACATATTCTATGAATAGATATGTATTTAGCAAGTTGCCTTGAGTAATACATAATTTTTGATTCTTTTGATCAATGGCTATCAGGCGCAGCTACAATATGCGCCCGCGAAAATGGATCAATGTAATCTGTTAAGTTTGCATGAAAATGACCAGACCACGGTTGGTAGACAACAATCGAACACGCTTGCAACGCATATCTATTAGAATTCAAAACAAATTAATCTTTACATTCGGATAGATGAGATTCTAAATATAAAAATATGTACTAATAAAGAAAATAAACATATTGCTCTCGTACATAAAGATACGTGCACCCTTGATTGTAGTTATCTCAAATTTGCATATTTTCCAACGACTGTTATTTGTATTTGCATTCTGCCTGTTACGCTTCTTCTAATTATTTTTAAAGCTCAAAAGCATATTGAAATTTACTTAGGTATCTGCAGTAGAGTTGCGATGAAGTAGCTTTATTTGCTTAGTATGTTTTCAAAACCAAGTTCTTAAAGCATAACTTAAAGATTTATACACTTAACTACTCATCCTATGTACTCTTAGAAGACTAATTTCTACTTACGTCTCTTCAGACAATGGCCGCTACAAAACGAAATGCTGGACTAACATCTGCTGTTCCACGTGCAACGCTTAACGACGAAGAACTGGTAAGCTCAAAACTCATCTCAGCATCCAAAACAAAAGGGTCGCAAAACAACTGCAAATCATTTCGGCTATCAAGCACCATTTTAAAAATGACATGACGACACAGTACAATCAATATTCCTGATAAACATTTTTCAGAAGATAAAAATTAAATATTTGTTTCATTTTTATACCCTTGCAGAGGGTATTATGATTTCAGTCAGAAGTTTGCAACGCAGTGAAGGAGACGTTTCCGACCCCATAAAGTATATATATTCTTGATCAGCACCACTAGACGATTATCTATTATCATATACTATTGGGAATATCATTTTTTGTATTTTTAAATTATAACTGCAAGGCTATACAAACAAATACAAAACGCAATACAATAATATGTGAAAAAAACGCCGAAGCTATAATTTTTTTCATATTATTTTCCCACCAATTTTACGATTGTTCCTATGGTAGCTATATGATAAAGTCGTCCGATTTTGATAAAATTAAATTTAAAATTCAGAACTAATCAAAAAATGTTATTTCCAAGCTTAGGAGTTTATATGTTAAAAAACACCAAAGAAATAAAAACATTTTTTTCCCGAATTTTCCTATGAAAGCTATAAGATATCGTTGTCCGATCCTGTTTCCGACTTGGGAAAGTTTCAGCCCGATAGCTTTAAAACTGAGAGACTAGATCGACTCGTCTAGTAATGCTGATCAGAATATATATACTTTATGGGGTCGGAAACGTCTCCTTCACTGCGTTGCAAACTTCTGACTGAAATCATAATACCCTCTGCAAGGGTATAACAAAAATAAAAATATTTTTAACTGCTCTTTTGAATGTTCGCCAAGCCGAAGTATATACACCCTTGAAATACTCAAAGTTATTTAAACCATTTTTAATTTTTAATGATTGTTGCTAGCATTAGTGATACTTAAAAAAACAAGTTTTATAAAACTAATACCGATTCCCCCGTGGTTGCGCGCTTGAAGGATTTGTTCAAATAATTACATTTAACTTCCGATAAACTTTTTGTATGTAACGGTCCGATTTTTTAACAATTTATTTCATTATTCTGAAAAATTAAAATATTCATGTTTAAACCGGGGAAGAAGATAATATGGTAAAAAAAAATAACGAAAAAAAGACTTGCAAAGATTTTATCCGCATAGCCTTAAAACTGATAACTTAGTTTCCGTACAAATTTACATACATACATACAAATTTTACAGCTCTTTAAATTGTTTTTTTTTTCACGTAAAGCCAATTTTCAGGTAAAATCGCATTCTTAAGTTACAGTCCAATACAAACGGCAACAAATTTTCACTAAATAACGAATAATTAAATAATCTTTTAAAAGTTTTATAATTGGGTATGCTGCACGGTGTCCAAATTTACGATTCTAGTTTAAGATTAAATAAATTTGCAACTGTTAGAATTGATTAAAATGATGTAACCTGCCTATAGACTAAAAGTCAGAATTGAAACAATATGTAAGCGAATCGGCAATCTTAATGTAGCCATAATTGGTATTTTTTCCAATCCATAGAAAATGCATGTGTACAAAAAAGCTCTACAGGCTCTGATCTACCCTATATCATCGACTACGCCCCACAACTTTTTGTTATGGACGGCAACATCTCCTACGTACTGCTACGAATGTGAGGGTCTTCTGTGGGGAATAGCACGACAAGGAGTGAGATGCACTGAGTGCGGTGTAAAGTGTCATGAGAAGTGTAAAGACCTGCTGAACGCTGATTGCCTTCAGCGTAAGTGTTCTATATATCCAGAGGTGTACTTTTAAGGTTTTCATTTAATTTATAATTATAGGTGCTGCCGAAAAGAGCTCAAAACACGGTGCGGAGGACAAGGCGAATTCGATCATCACCGCGATGAAAGAGCGAATGAAGCAACGTGAGCGAGAAAAGCCAGAAATATTCGAGTTGATTAGGTAATATATATAGACTTGAATAGTGCCTATTATCGCAGCTATAAAATTTACCTTTAATGGGGATATACACACTTATAAACATAACACTTAATATGCCGATATTGATATGATATGCAGCCTACAAATGTATCATAATAAAGTAAAAATAAGTTAGTTAGGTTTTTAAGCGGCCAGAACCACTAAGAACAAAAGATAGTTAACTTTGACATGGAATTTATCCACTAGAGCCGTATTCAGCGTTGAGGAGAAGAGTCACACCGGTCATATGAAGGCTGTTAAACAAAGCGTCCTGGATGGCACAAGCAAATGGTCGGCCAAGATAGCAATTACAGGTTTGAAATTTTAAAAAACTAACTTTTAATCGTCGTATTATGTTGTCGGTTTATTTTGAATTGGATGTATGTGAATGTGTTTGCAATTCGCATTTGAATGACACGCTGTATTTATTATTATTATATTGATCTATTTAAAAAGCAATATTGATTTACAATAATGAATGTGCGATTATATGTAACTGTATTTTATTTTTATATTTGAAAAATCTGTGATATGCATGTACGCATTACATACATGTATATTTTTGAAATCCACATATAAAAGCATACCTGAAATTCTATACAAGTATTCAGTAGCCTTGCGGCTTCATTTTATGTGTGGGCTTCATCACAAAGTGTTATATGCGAAGCAATATTTATAGGCATAGGCATACACATGATTAGGTTCAAAACCAAATTACTGGATATTTTATTAATTTATCTATCCTCTTGTGATACATCTTTATAGGGTATTAGCAAAGTTTAAAGGTCGATAAACGTAAACATACAGGGGGTTCAACGCACGCACCCGCCAATTAAATAACATACTTTTAGTGTTTTAATATTTCAGAAGCAATAATGGAGATCAAACAGTAAACACAAATTATATATGTATGCAATCGATTTAATTTAAGGATGACATTCGGTGTGGATCCTGATACACACATAGATTCATTAGAGCAGGCTGAGTACGCAACTGTTGAGGGAACATCTAAGTGGTCATGCAAACTAACAATTACAGGTACACGAACAAAGCCATTTGGCATTGAATGAATTCCCTTTATTTTAATCTATAATTTTATCGTTTGTTTTTGCATCCTTAATTTCCTATTTCACAACCACAAACTAAAGTGTAAACAATTTCTGGAAAAAGCTAATATTTATTCAATTATTTCTTTAATTACAGTTTTAAGTTAATATATTTGAAGGTTTTCTTTGTTAATTAATTATGTTTCCTACTACTTATCTAAAATATAACCCTTCTTTTATCAAAACAAACTCTTCATTTATTTAATATAACGTTATAAATTGATCGTCACTTAGGTAGGTCGTGTAGAAAATTTATGTCACATTGAAAAGAAATTGAAAACTTATCACTTTCTATTCGCGGCCTTTACATTGAAGTCAATGATGCTTAATTTTAAATCAATGAGCTATCTATTGTAAAATATATTATTTTTGGGGATTCGTCCTAACACAACCAAAAAGGCTCTGCTTAAAAATCCAATGTAAAACAAGAAGAACGCTATAGTCGAGTGCCTAGACTATCTGATTACTCCGTTTCAAATTGTAATTTAAATAAAAGTCCATGGCATTACTATTCGCTCGGCAATACCACTGACCATGCCAAAGACTGTTTAACTAAGTTAGTCATAACTTTTAAAATAATAATGTGGATGCTTTAATTTTCAGCATTTAGATAGGTATTGATCATAAAAACAATTTTAATTTACACTGAAATAGAATCTCCCAAACAGTGGATGCTAGGATGGGCACTAGAGTGGGGGTCAGATGAGTAATCGGTATAACTAAGTTTTGTCCTTTCGCACTCAAGATAAAAATATGCTCCTTTTCTCAAATTATTGAATTTTTAAAAATAATTATATAAATACACCCAAACTGTATTACTTTCATTTTCATGCTCTAAACTGTTTAAATGCCAAAAGAACAATTTTTAAACCGTTTAAGATTATAATTTTAGCCAGAATTTTGCGACGCTATGACGCATATATTCTCGATCCGCAACAACAGCCTTTTCAATATAGCTATGTCCGTTTTTACGGAAACTTGTGACTTGGTTTTAAAGATATCGCAAAAAAAATGTTGAAAAGTCTTCTTTCTGTTGCAGGTAGTAGGGAAAAAAAGATCGGTTTTCAAACTTGATCTGCGGGTACACATTTTATGACGATTGTGAAAGTTTTAAAACGCTAGATTTTAAACTGATCTTGCAGAATATGTATGTTATGTATTACAAAGTTACATAATTCATACCAAAATTAAAATACCGTCTGCAAGGTTACACAAATTGTTTACAAATTTTTAAAGAATTTTAATGCGGTGGTACAAACCAACGCCCGAAGAAACAAAACAACAAAATACTTGACAGATTCTAGAAATTCTTTCGCAGTGCAAGTTTATTTCAGCAGGTTGCCACGCCCACGCTAACGCCCATAACGCTAGAACCTGTCTAAGCGCTCACATTTTTGAAGATTTTGTAAAAGTGTAAGTGGAATTTTGTTTTGACTACCAATACCAATCTAGATCAATATCAATCTACATCAGCGGTCGGCAGCGTCCCAGCAAGCGGGCACAGAGAACAGCTCTGCTTAGCCTCTGCCAGCATACATACACCGTAGGACAGCAGTCGTCACACACCCACATCAATAAGCTGCAGGACAAAAAGACGAACTATCTTTGCATTCTGTGCCGACCGCTGATCTACATGTTAAAAGTTGTTTAGTCATCCATTAACAAGTAGAAAGCTAAGGTGTTGACGCTAGGCGGTGAGGGGGCACATCAGTGTCATCTTGGGAACGTCGCTTGGCTGCATATCGAGATATATTGATATTCGAGGTCATTGACTATAGCACTCTCTCTTTTATTTTTCAACATCCACTGAGGTGTCAAAAGTTGATTACATCGGTCCATTATTTAATAGGTTAAACTGATTAGCTAAACTATAGCGTTTTGCTTTTCTAAGGCGCATGGGCATGAAGAGCGACGATTGAAGGCAAAGAGCACTAGAGTATAAGACAAAGAAAGAAAGGGAAATCTATGCCGACTTGTCTGCTGGCGTCGACAGCGGCATTGCGATTTGCCCAAAAGTTGTCTTTTAGAAAATTATTGCAGACTTTTTAACCATTTAGGCAAGACCTTTTCAGTGTAAAAAGTAAATTGCTTCTGAAATACATTGTGCAAGGGTTTGGTGAAACCCTTAGCTCGCGTTTGGTTATTATAGCGGTGTAAAGATTTCAGGCAAGAAAATAGGACTGGAACAGGGGAGGAAAATTTACCCCAAATCAACATGCTTACTTATTGCCCTTTTTTTTCTATCATAAAATTGTCCAGATCACTTATCATATTTATTATTTGTAAAAATAAATCGTACAAGTTTTTTTGGCTTTATTTCTAAAACGCAAAAAAGCTGTTTCGTTTTAAAAACGAACTGGTTTTTCATTTGCATCGAATAGTTAAAATATTGTCCTAAATCGAACTTTTGTTTTGCCTTATAAATAGAAATGTAAATTTATTTATGTATTTCTAAAGGCCAATTCTTGCCATTTGTGCGGGAATAAAAAACAAACCAAATCTAGAAACCGCAAAACACTAAAACTATGAATTGGGTTTATTTCCTCATTCATTTTTCGGTCGTTCCTATAGCAGCTTTGAGATATAGTGGTCCGATTCGGTTCGTTTCGACTTACGTACTTCCTGCAATGGAAAGAAGACTTTTAAGAAAGTCGTATCTCAAAAGCCTTAAATTTAAGAGTCTAGTCTGCGAAGAATCGGATATACCGAAATTATAATACTCTCTGAAACGGTATAAAAACCAGACGATTAAATCAAAGTCATATTGTCATGAAACCTTTCAGTAAAGTTAATGCTGCGGTTACTTTAAAACTCATATAATTTTAGTTATAGTGTAACTAAAATTTAAATATAAAATATAGCCTAGCTTTATGAAAAAAATTAACATTTTTCACTTGAATGTAATTAATACACGGCTAATGAAAGAAAGATGGCAGTACGCCAAAAATTTGGGAAACATTCAGCTTGCATAAAATCCTAATTCTATTATAAATCTTACCCATGGCTGTATTTAGTTTCCGTAAAATAATAATTTTCGTTTAATAGATAAATATATATAATTTACATAGACTTAGGTTAAATCACTCGGAAATTCATTTCAAAATTAAATTGTATACATTTTAATTACTGTAAATTCAATCAGCAGCAATGCTTGCTAAATATTAATAGCTACTACTATACAGAGCTGCAACTTACCAATTCACGCATTGAGGCTAAATTCAAAATCAACTTTTGTGAGTTGTCAAATTAATGTAACATTGTTTTTGCACATACGATCTGAGCCATTTCTTAAAAACACCTAACGGTAAATGTTTTTAAAGATGAATATTGGTTATAACATCAACGTTTATTAATTTTTTGTAGTGTTGAACTGCATTCGTTTTGCCACTAATAAGAATAAGAATAAACTAGAGAGAACGCTACAGATGCTTTCGACTATCAGGTCTTACGACTATCACTACTATCACGACTATCACTTGTTACTCATCTAAGGGGAGTACGAGGGAGATATATTTATGCAAGCAACAAAGCGGCTGTCCCCAAGATCCCAAGACATCACGCCACTGCGCTACCCAACGTCGATTCCTTTATTTGCTTATAACTTTTAAATAAATCGTCCGATTTCATTTTAGCATGTAGATGAATATTTACAATCAAAGCAAAATCCCATTTACACTTTTACAAAATCTTTTAAACTGTGGGCTCGTTATGGGAGTTTGAGGGCTACTCTATAACCTGAAATTCTTATCCCAACTTTCTAGCTTTTATAGTTTCCGAGATCTCAGCGTTCATACGGACAGACAGACACGGCTAGTTCGACTCGGCTAGTGATCCTGATCAAGAATATATATACTGTAAGCGCTTCCTTTCACGTATTACAAGCTGTTGTCCACGTACAATATAAACTTTTGCTCTACGAGTACCTGGTATAATAATCGGACTATATAATATAGCTACCATTGGAACGTTCAATTCAATTTCTAATATATATTTCTCACTCCGTTTTTCGAAGCTATGTAGTGTCATTTAGATAGGAAATGCCAAGGTTAAATATAAAAGGAGCAAATGTTACAGCTAGTTAGTTAGAGCGATTCAAAAAATCTATTAATAAAATTAAAAAATTTACAAAAATGTGAAGATTTTTTGAGTTGAAAAACGTAAGCCCAAAAATAATATATTTGATCAACGTCAACAGTGCGCATGAGTGTATTGTTATGTTATTTGATTCTTACAAATTTGTATATATAACTTATTATTAATTATACATTTCTTGAGAATTTTTGTCTTTTATTTCAGTACTAAGACATCAGACTATGTTTAAAGTGTACAAAGAAAATTATAACTTCGTAATACATTCAATTTTTCTTTACTTTTAATTTACAACTAATTTCACAGGTACACACCCAAAATTTTCCACAAACCATTTATAGTTTCCCATGATAATTGAGCCAAAGTCCCATACAAAGTTGTATTTCATCGCCAACAGGTGGCGCGGTATAGCTAAGAATACATAAAAACGATGTTTGCTGACATTTTAAGTTTTATGGCTCACATAGTTGGACATAAATTAAATATTTTCGCTGAAACACTTTCTCAATACAATCAATTTTTTTTTGATTGCGGATTTACCATTTTATATTCCGAAGACGATTTAAATAAATATAAATCTATTTTATGTACAAAAACATACATGCTTACTGCCTTTCAAAAGGTTGCGATGACTTATTTTAAGTTTGACAACATTTAGGAGAAGATATTAAAAGGAAAAAAACCGGTTTATTGCTATACAAAAATCCAACATGATATCCATATGAAATCGTTTTAAACCGAAATTAAAGCATACAGTGGCAAAAAGGTTCCAAGAAACGTAAAAGAGGTGGATTTCCATTACAGAAATTGTGAAGTTTTGGGACTTTCAATTTTGAAGTCAAATTCCAAAGACATGGACAATGGTTCAAGATGGGGTTTATTTTGTAGAAATGCCTTCATGTATTGAAAGAGTGTTTCATCGAAAATATTTAAGATATGTCCAATTATGTGGGCCATATTATTAAAAATGTCTGCAAACATCGGTTTTATGTATTCTTAGCTACACCGCGGAACCTGTAGATGGACTTTTACTCAGGAGCACCCAAATATCTTGGAAAACTAGAAATGGTTCGTGGAAATTTCCAAAAGTTCAATTTGGTGTTCCTGTGTTATTTGACAAGAAAAATATTATGGTTGATATTGTTAATTTCTCACAACAACTTTTTTTTTAAGAATGGAGTAAATATTAATAATATTACCTGTTTATGTTTTTTGAGCGAGCACATTACATAGTTTACTTTTAACAAAATATAATATATACCATTCCCATACACATGAAATAGTGCTATGCCTAAACACAGTAATAGCTTACAGCCAAAATGCTCCCAAAACAATAAGGTTGCCAATTGGGTTTTTTTCACATACGAATTACTTAAATATATACGCGAGTCGAAAAAACACGACGTTTTCTTGGCCGAAGACTGAGCGCTAAACAATCTGAAATGGTTTTACCTGCAGATTACGACCCCAAACTATGAAACTATTCTTAGTCCAGAAGCAGAATATAGCTGAAATGGTATTTTGAACCTTTAACTTTGACAGTGAACAATCATTATTTTTGTGTACCTCCCCTTAAGTAAAAGTGCATTTTGTATAGTTCATCTATAGTAATCTCATATTTTCCTAGTTTGCAGTACCAGGCTACTACATATATACTATTAGATAACCGTTACTCAGCTAAAGGGACCGAAGGGAAATGGAGATATGCAAGCAGTATAGAGAGATTGAAATGCGCCACCTACCCGCGATCTCAATATATGGTTATGTGGGCGGTAGACAGATTTAGTCGTTAATGGCATTAGAGTGGGCGTGGCAAACTTTTTTTGTCAATCGATATGTATTGACGAGACTATTACATTTCAGTTAAAATTTTTTTCTAGCATGCGGTTTTTGCGCGTTAGAGTGGGCGTGGTATATTCGCGTAACGAACTTGCGCTGCGCTTAAGGCTACGGAATCTAAATCAGAAATCCCAATTTTCTATCTTTGATATTTTTTGAGATATCCGCGTTCATATTTACGATTTTTTGAAGTTTGTGGGCGGATTGCGGGCGTTTAAGTGGGCGTGGCAATCTTTTTTTGAATCATCGATAGGTATTGACGAAACTAATACAATTCAGCAAAAAAATTGTGGGCGCCACAGGTTTGGGCGGTTTGTGGGCGTAGGAGTGGGCGTGGCATATTCGCATTTTCGCGTAACAAACTTGCGCTCCGTACAAGACTACGGAATCTAAATCTAAGATCCTATTTCTCCATCTTTGATATTTTCGAGGTATTCGCGTTCAAATTTACGAATTTTTGTGGGCGTTATAGTGGGCGTGGCAAACTTTTTTTGGATTAATCGATAGATATTGATGAGAACAATTCATTTCAGTTAAAATTTTTACTCTAGCATCAAAATTGTAGAAGATACAGTTTTGGGCGGTTTAAGGGCGTTAGAGTGGGCGTGGCACATTGCTGAAACAAACCCTGCGTTGCGTAAGAAGCTCAGGAATCTGCATGCGAAATCTCAATAGCCTAGCTTTTATAGTTTCCGAGATCTCAGCGTTCATCCGGACACACAGGCGGACATGGCTAGATCGACTCGGGTAGTGATCCTGACTTTATGGGATCGGAAACGCTTCCTTCTGCCTGTTACATACTTTCCGACGAATCTAGTATACCCTTTTATTCTACGAGTAACGGGTATAACAAGAAGCAAGGTTATAGTCGAAGGTTTGAGCTGTCCGCTACCCGTTACTCTTTTTTTTAAATTTCATATAAAAATTCTACTGGAGCGGACCAAACTACCGACGTCAGCGCCACGGCACCTGGCGGACGGCAGTGGTACTTCTGACCATGTTAATGCCTGTTTAACTGACTTACTTATATTGATGTGATTCTCGGAACTTAGATGTTACGCAGGTATGGATCAATGAAACCCATTTCAAAAGCACATCTATAAATTTGGCTTCCTTGTACCTGTTACATACCTTACGACGAATACAATATACCTTTTACTCTACGAGTAGCAGGTATAAAATGTGACAAAAATTAACTTAGTAAAATGCCCTTTAACTAAAGATGTAGAAGTTCCACAAATCGGGGGGTTTTCATTGTTGAAATTAAAGGTTAAGAGTTCCAGATAGGTGTATAAAGCCGTAAAAAGTCAGTAAAAATTAAAAATTTGATCTTTGTAAAACCTATCAGATTTTGTATTGTTTCGTCTTGGACTTTTTTTTGTCGACCTGTGTTATAGATTGCTCCCATTATTCAACATTTTCAATTATTTTTGTAACTTTATTATAATAATACCTTAACGTCACAAACAAATATTTTTATAAATACAGATACATAGTTGCGGTTCGAGAAAGTGCGGTTAAGGTCTTTAAAATATACTAGTTTTCACACCGAAAATGTATTTATTTTTGTTTGCATCCGCTAAGCTAATAAATTGGAATTGTAAGTGTCAACATTTTATATTTTTTATGTTTATAATTTCAGTATACTTTACTCGCAATTTTTCCAGATTTATAATAAGAAAAACCGTATTATTGAGTTAAAATTAAAGAAGCAATACCAAGGTAAATTTGCAGATAGTGTAAAAGCTACCCCTTTTTAAATATATACATTTTTACCAGTATCAGGAGTAAATTATTAATTATGCGCATCTACTTATAACATGATAACTTACCAATTATTATGTCAAGTTCGGATGAGATCGTTTTTATATTGGCTAGCGCATGAGGTTGTTCGATCTAAGACGGTTAAAGCTTTGAAAATGTTATGTCGGTAATGACTTCTTGTAAGCTTTTGCCGAATCTGTAATTTACAAACCTAATGTATATGTGTGTCTAAGGTTATCTTATGGGCAGCAAATGCCAATTTCCCAGTAATGTATGTTTTTCCCGTTAAAAGCATACATACAAATTGTATAACATACTTTCAATGCAAGTTATTTATACCCGTGTCCTTTTCTTTGTGTGTGTAATTTTTATAGGTAAACAACTTTATATATTGCTTTTGACTTTTCTGCTCTTTACGTTAAAATTGTGATTAGTTTTTAAAATTGTACCGAACTACATTTTTTCGTTATCAGCAATATACCATTAACACTTATACCTTTTTCACTTGCATCTTTCTGATTAGTAATCATATTTACATAAATGTATATACCTATACTTCTTAAAATTTGTATGTACATACATATATGTATATGTGACAGTGTAATCAAGTCAGCAGCACTGCACTGTTTCTGCTGAACTGATGTTAAAGATCATTATTAAAAACACTCCGTTTTTTCTCTTCTTCTTTCTCCCTTGAAAATCAATTCTTAACACTGAACAAAAATCAAAAACTAAAAAAAAATTTAAATAATTTTTCAAATGCACATAATATAAATCTCAAACTATTTTCTTCGTTTCAAACCCCACGAATTCGTTATAAAATGAAATTTATAAAATCTATAAATTAAATTAAATCTACACAACTACCAATAAAAAACGACAACTTTTGAAACACAAATTACATACTTAACATCTGGGACATTATACTGATCGGCTTGGAATATCTGACTACAACACACTAAATTGGCGACTTTTGGAACATGGTGTTGGAAACGAATAAATTGATGAACCCACTTAATTTGACCTGAAATTTGATGCAGTGATTTGTGCTCAAGGCCTGATAGCGAAGGATAAAAGCGGTACCAGTGATCCATATGTGACGGTGCAGGTTAGCAAGGTGAAAAAACGAACGCGAACAATGCCGCAGGAACTTAACCCTGTGTGGAACGAGAAGTTTCACTTGTGAGTACTTGTGCCCTAAATTCAATCCTTAACTTAATCAACACACAAAACAATATGAACTGTGTATGTTTACAAACATTAATTACACCTAAGATGCACTCTCTCACTTATGTATACTCTCGTCTCTCTGTTAGTTCCTTAAAAGTCTGAAAATTCCAATATTGAATTACATTTTCAAGACTATTGATGGCAACGATGTCGATCATTCTTTATTTCACCATGATTGCCATATTTGTGAAAAGATTGCAATCATAGATATTTCTAGGTGAATGCTTTCGAAACTCGATTAGTACAAGATTGTTAAAAGATTGTGTAAGAATATTTATGACATGAACTGCGGATTGACTAAATAGCTTCTGTATTGCAATTCTTAAGGACTCACGGATTCTTCTAAAAAAAATGGAGTGTATTTTTTCATTTTTAAGGTTGTGCATATGATATTAAGAAAAAAAATTTATTTTGTAGTCTATAGAATTGTTCTTAGTAGAAAATTATTCTTAAAGCGCAAAAATATTTTTTCACATTTGTGACTTCCCGGAAACTTTTATATATACCATTCGGTAAAAAAAATGATTAGTAAACCTCTACTTTTAAAATACATTTTTTTTAATACAAATTTTTTTAATTTTTTTTTTAAATAAAAAGTAATGGAGTAAAAAAATTTTTTTTTTTAAATAGAGTATATAGGGCAAAGTTCTGTAGGTTAGAAGACTTATCTCTATTCCTGTTATTTGGTCATTACCTTATAAAACAAACCTCATTAAATGACGTAAGAAAGCTGGATCATTTGGCTTTCAATGTAAATTAAAAAATTTTTTTTTTTCAAGTTCTGGTTGGTTTTTTAAAAACTAAATAAAACTCACACTTAAGGACTCTAAACTTTTTAGAAACTATTTTCTGCCCTATTAATGTGGGTACTTTTACAAAAGTAGAATTAAATATTAAGGCTGTTTAAACGTCTCACATTTTCAAAGATATGTCCAAAGGGAAAGGTTTAAACCTGCCTAATAAATTTGTTGAAGTTTGATCGCAAAAATTTATTGCGGATTTTTTGATTTTATTGTTTTTAATAGACGTTTTTTTTGGCCATACTTAAGGAAGAGGCCTGTAAGTTAGGAATATAATCCTTTTTTCATGTTTTTAGTGACTAAACTTTTAGTAACAGAATTATAAGCCAGGCTGAAGTCAGATTTGTGCTTTGACAGTCGCTCCCAGAAAAATTGAGAACGAAAAAACCGAGTTCGGTTCTTCTCAGGTGAGGGGAAGACGTAGAAAAAATTAGAGGAAGAGGAGACCGAGCTCCTTTCTTGTCGCTGCGGTTAAGTTGATTTAAAAAAAAAAGTGACGAAAAATTTAAAGACGTGCGTCGGGAGTTCAACTTAATAAATGCCTTTCCCCGCCTACAACGTAAGTAAAATCATATTTTTACAATTTGTGTTATTTTAATATGTGTTTTTATTCAAGAAAAACAAGTTGTATTAATTGCTTTTCATAAATACACTACTAAGGTACTGCTGGAAATATGAAGTTGCCACTTTTATTAGGCGCAAAAAAATAAAAGTACAAAGTACCAAGAACTGTTTTTAAAGATCATATTAATGCTGGTATAAATTTATCTGACTTGGTTTCCACAGACCTTTGCTGTGGCACTGCACTAACACAAAAAAATTTTCTAGGTTTTTTAATTTTTGCTTCACCTTTTAAGTAAAAATCACCTCACTAACAAACTACGCGAACTCTTAATAATATTATTGTAAATACATAAGATAAATCGACCACAATTATTTGACGTCACATATGTCAAGTACGTCACCTTTCCCTACTTGTCACCTTACTTCCTTACTTACCTCACTTCCCTACATAATGAACAAATTAATTAATTTTTAAGTAATCGGAAACTAGTGAACAATACAAAAAAAAAATTATGATTTTGTATTTGCCTGTACATTTCCAACTTAAATAAGAATTTCTATATTTAATATAATAATAATAATATACTATATTAACATTATAAAATAGTAACAATAATAATAATAACACTAATAATATATTGTTTTAGGTGCCGAAGTTTCTTACGAGTTCCTAAGATACAAAGGGGGGACGAAATAAAAGAGGCTATTCCACCGATAGGGATTCGTAAAGGAACTAAAGTACATTTATAAGTTATCCGATTTGTATATCAACTTAATAATGTAATGAAAGCCGTAAGGCTGATTTATATATAATTAAAAGAATAGCATTTTTATTTGAGAATGGGTTCTGGGAGCGAGAGCGATGCGATGTTAAAACCGAGAACAGTTCATCTCTAAATCGATATCGATTCGATGTTGAACCGAGATTGATTTATTTCGAAATCGAGATCGAGCATGCTCAAAAGTCCGTTCGCAAAACGGTTTCGATCTTGAAAATTTGAGCAAGAATCGATCTTGGATCATTTTTGAGATCGAAATTGAGTGCGTGTACCATTTTTCTCCATAACAGTTTTTTTTAAATTGATAATAAGTAAATAATGTTGCTAAATTAAATTGGATAAAGGTTACTCACAAAGGTAGAAAAAATCCTAACAATATTTAAAACAACACTTTTTAACAGTTGGGAAAAAAAGTTTTTTTTAAATAACTTTCTTTTGTAAGTCTTGCACACAAAAATGCTTTAGCCAAAAAAGTAAATTTGCCTTTTGACATAGTAAATTTTTTGGAATTTATGGAAAATGTGAGTCGCTTAAAGAACCATTTTGTTTGAATCAAAATACATGAGTCAAAATACATTAAAAACAAGGGAGAACGCTATAATCGAGTACCTCGACTATCAGATACCCGTTACTCAGCTAAGGGAACCAAAACGAGATGGAAAGATGCAAGCATTGACGAGACTAATACATTTCAGTTAAAAATTTGTTTTAGCATGAAAATGTTGGGCGGCACAGGTTTGGGCGGTTGGTGGGCTTTAGAGTGGACGTGGCGAACTTTTTTTGGGTCAATCGATAGGTTTCGAAGACACTAAAATATTTCAGTTAAAATTGGTTTTCTAACATGAAAATTGTTGCCACCACAGGCTTAGGCGGTTTGTAGGCGTTAGAGTGGGCGTGGCATATTCGCGTAACAAACTTGCGCTGCGTACAAGGCTACGGAATCAAAACCTGAAATCACAATACTCCATCTTTGATACTTTCCGAGATATGCGCGTTCATATCTACGATTTTTTGAAGTTTATGGACGGTTTGTGGGCATTAAAGTGGGCGTGGCATACTTTTTTCTGGACAACCGATAGGTATTGATGAAAACAATACATATCAGTGAACATTTTTATTCTTGCATTAAAACTTTAGTAGCCATAGTTTTGGGCGGTTTGTGGGCGTTAGGGTGGGCGTGGCACACTGACGAATCGAACTTGCGCTCTTATTGTTTCCGAGATGACAGCGTTCATACGGACAGACAGACATGGCTAGATCGACTCGGCTAGTGACCCTGATCAAGAATATATGCACTAACCGGCATAAGTATTTAGACAAAACAAAAGTTAAATATAAAGGTCATTAAAATTATGTTTGAATGATACAAGACTTTTCTCAACCCATTTGGTAAATTTGGTGAAAATCTACTTTTTATCGTTTTTTCACGTTTTGTAAACTAAAATTTTTAGTTTCGCTAAACAAAACAAAAAGAAACTGCAAAAATAATTTTTCGAAAATTGTGTTGGCCTTATTTTTTTGGAATAAATGAAAATGTTCAGAAATTTGCATTCAAGCAATATTTTTCTCTTCTTATACTATTTTTTTCTGACATTGTCACATTCAAAAAGTCATAAAAAATATAAGCAACGATTTTTGAAAAATTATTTTTGCAGTAACAATTAGTTTTGTTTGGAGAAACTTTAGGCATCAACAAATTTTACTTTTCAAGACGTGGAAAAAAGTATAAAACGTAGACTTTCACAAAAATTAGGCATTTTAAATAAGTACTGAATGGGTACAGAAAAGTCTTTTATCATTCAAACGGATTTTAAATCACCTTTTCATTAATGCCAAAATGTACATAACGAAATTTCAAATAATGAGTATACGAGGGTGGTCCGATAAGTACTTAGCCTCCAAAAGAAAATCGAAAATTTTGTAAAAGTGGCGATTTATTTCTCAACATAATCTCCTTTTAGCTCGATACACTTGACCCAGCGATGCTCAAACTTCTTTAACCCGTCTGAAAAATACGTTTTCTCGAGGTCTGCAAAATTCATCGCAAATTTCTGTCCATCAAGTGACTTTTTCATGTTTGGAAACAAAAAGAAGTCACACGGGGCCAAATCTGGAAATGATGGTGGATGGGGTAGCAGTTCGTAGCCCAATTCGACCAATTGGCCTTGGCGAGGGAGGAAGTGTGATCGGGTGCGTTGTCATGATGGAAGAGCACTTTTTTCTTCGCCAAATGGGTCCGTATTTTCCGCAATAGTACAGCCCTGTGACCGTTTTGGCCTTCTCCAGGTAGTCCATGCAAATCACACCTTGTGAATCCCAAAAAACGGTGGCCATCACCTTTCCGACCGATGGGACAGTCTTCGCCTTTTTCGGAGCGGGTTCGCAGGGAGAAGTCCACTGTTTCGACTGTTCCTTGGTCTCTAGTGTGTACCAGTGGATCCATGTTTCGACATGGTTTCCAAAATTTCATGCAGGATATGACCCACGCGGTCTTTTGACATGCCTACTGTCTCAGCTATCTCTCGTATCTTCAATCGGGGGTCTGCCAATACGAGATTGTGGATTTTTGTCACTTTATCCTCCGTGGTAGCCGTTTTCGGGGCTCGTGGCTCATCAAAAACCGACGGCGACCAAGTTGAAACTCGTTAAACCAATTTTTGACGGTCGCCATCGAAGGAGAAGAGTCACCGGACACAGCATCCAAGCACTATTTAATTTCGCTGCGCGATTTCCCTTCCAAAAACAAGAATCGAATCACAGACCGATATTGCTCTTCTCCATTTTTCGAAAAATCCGCGGACACGTCCGATTCCACGCGCAGTCAAAACTAAACTACGAGTCCGATTCGGCTGAAATTTCGACAGTAGCCGTCTACGAGAATGTACTACACGATAGTAAATTTCTCTTGCGATAGTGCCATCGGGCGGTGAGGCTAAGTACTTATCGGACTGCCCTCGTATTTAACTTTTGTTTCATCAAAATACTTATGCCGACTAGTGTGTGTACTTTATGGAAACGCTTCCTTCTATTTGTTACATACTTTCCGACGAATCTAGTATACACTTTTACCCTACGAGTAACGGGTATAAAAAGGCGGGAAAACATTTAATGCTAACTAAAATTGGTTAAACTAACAATAATAAAAAGTTATCGAAAAATAGCTTTTTCGGCACTTCTTACAAATACTTTTTTTGTCTCTCCAAAGGAAAATATCAAGCTTTGCAGAGGTATCTGCCACGTTAAGTTTCATAAGCACAAAGCTCTCCAAAACTAAAAAGCAATACAATTTATATATCAATCTGCATAAAATAAAAAAATGTAAAATCCAATATTTATAGGTATTTAAAGGCAGACCGGCTTACTGTCTAGTATTCTAAAATGTATTACTTAATTTTTGTGAGTGTGTCAGTGTAATCATAACTTGCTCTTTAGTGATAGGATTGGTTTAAAAATACCTAATATTGCACTATGAACCGCTATAGAAAAGTTCCCCGACTATAAGATACACGGTTCACCAAGTGCATTTTTATTGACTAGCTGACATGCAAGAACGAAATTAATACTAACTTTTATAATAATGGTCGTGCTTGCACAGTTTTTGAAAAAACAAACAGACACCAGGGTGGATCTGAGGCAAAAGTGGGCTGGAAACAGACAGACCTTAGCATTAAGGGAGTTAGAGTGAGCGTGGCAAAATTTTGAAACTTTCGATTATTCCTGATATTTAGTTCTTTTTGTCTGTCGTAGCATTCGATTAGGGCTTCGATTTTTCCAGCACGACTAAGCTTGACACGAATACAAAAATTATTTATTATTTCCTTTATTTCTTTTAAACGCGGTCCAACCTGAAATCACTTATATAAAGGGAATTATGAAGCTATGCCTAAAGGTGGAGAACTCATATGCTTAAGAAACACCGCACATACATGATTTGTTTTAATAAATAATGGTGTCGTGTTTTTATTAATCTTTAGACTCGAGTTATGGAGTTCAGTAAAGTAAAGTGTAAACGCTATTGTAGAGTAATCCGGTTAATGGCGAACTTGATAACTTACTCGATAAAGGCTTTAATAGTTTCTGTGATCTCATCGTTCATACGGATGTAAGGACAGACCAACATGGCGATATTAACCCGACTGTTGATCCTGGTGAAGAATATTTATACTTTATAGGCTCGGAAACGCTTCCTTCTACATATTTTTTAATGGCTGCAATTTATCCTCTTTCCCTATATAGTAATATCCCTTTCACACTCTCGCGATGCGATGTTAAACCCTTGACAATACACGTGTGCCAAATAATACTACATATGCACAACTTAGCACGTTAAACATTTTATATTGCTTACAAATTGTATTTTACGTTGATAACTGAATTATTATTTATTGGGTGAATATAGCGAGTGCCACAACTCCTCAGACCGTATAAAAGTTCGAGTTTGGGACGAAGACAATGATCTTAAGTCGAAACTTCGTCAGAAATTAACTAGAGAGTCGGACGATTTTTTGGGCCAAACAATTATCGAGGTTCGTACACTTTCCGGCGAAATGGATGTATGGTACAATTTGGAGAAGCGCACAGATAAATCCGCTGTATCAGGCGCCATACGGCTACATATATCTGTTGAAATAAAGGGCGAGGAGAAGGTAGCTCCTTATCATGTACAATATACCTGCTTGCACGAGAATCTGTTTCATTATCTTTGTGAAGAAAATAGCGGAATGGTAAGCACTGGAAAAATATTTATATTAAAAAGTTTTTTCTTCTAATAAAAATAGTGATTCTTTTAAAATATTGTCACATTGTTAAAGGTTAAGTTGCCAACTCAAAAAGGGGACGATGCTTGGAAATTGTATTTTGATGAAATACCCGAGGAGATTGTGGACGAGTTTTCTATGCGGTATGGAATCGAGAATATCTATCAAGCTATGACGCACTTCCATTGCCTATCTGCCAAATACCTTTGCCCCGGAGTACCAGCTGTAATGAGTACACTGTTGGCAAACATAAACGCGTATTATGCTCATACGACTGCATCTTCAGCTGTGTCGGCCAGTGATCGTTTTGCAGCCAGCAATTTCGGGGTAATCTACATATTATTACACAATATTCATTTTGAAAGCACATTTTGAATTAAAAAGTTAGAGATAACTTTTTCACAACAACTTAGGTCCTTGTGTCAAATGAGGTCAAATTGGTTTCGATCAGAACTTTCAGATTTTGACATCCAAACTGCCATTACACTTCAAAAACTAATCTAAAATCCTATTATGGATCAGTATATGTTCAATATTATACATTTATACCTATCGTTTCTCAGAAAGAAAAATTTGTGAAATTGCTGGACCAGTTGCACAACTCCCTTAGAATCGATTTGTCAATGTACAGAAACAACTTTCCTGCATCGAGCCCAGAAAAGTTAATGGATCTAAAATCAACAGTCGATTTATTGACCAGCATAACATTTTTCCGCATGAAGGTAATTTAAATCTAAATTAAGTTTTAGTAAAATATATTATATATATATATCCACCTAGGTACAAGAGCTGTCTAGTCCGCCGAGAGCTAGTACTGTAGTTAAAGACTGTGTGAAAGCATGCCTGAGATCTACCTACCAGTTCTTATTTGAAAACTGCTACGAACTTTACAACAGAGAATTTCAGGTAACACATTTTCAGTTATTGACCCGTTATTATCTATCTTATATATCGATGTATTGATGACACTATCTATGAGATGACATATCATTGAACTTGAGTACACGATTCTCGTACATTAATAGGATATTTTATAGGTAACGGCATAAAAGTAAGCAACGAGAGAGGCTGATCAAGTTTTAAAAGGTTAGGTTAGAAGGTTAGGAGGCCTTAAATGGTCAGGGACGTCACTGCCAGTAGAGGTAGGTCGCGCTGCCGTCATAAGTATTAGTCGTCTGAAGGATAATTTATTTTGAAATTGGATAACAGAGTAACGGTTTATTATACCACACACAGGTTGACCCCAACGAAGCAAAACGGGCACCGGATGATCATGAACCCAAACTGGATAGCGTTGACTTCTGGCACAAGCTAATAGCATTAATCGTATCGGTTATAGATGAAGATAAGAACAGTTATGGAACCGTTTTAAACCAATTTCCCCAGGAACTAAATATTGGCCAGGTTAGTTTACCATTCGTTCCTATTTTCTTTAAGGATAACACATTTTATTTGAATACAAACGTGCAGTTATCAGCATCCTCAATGTGGCACCTTTTCGCTGTCGACATGAAGTACGCACTCGAAGAACACGAACAGCACCGTCTATGCAAGTCGTCGGCATATATGAATCTTCACTTTAGAGTTAAATGGCTATATAGTAATTACGTTAAAGAGGTGCCTCCCTACAAAGGTGCGGTGCCCGATTACCCAGCATGGTTCGAGCCTTTTGTTATGCAGTGGCTTAATGAGAATGACGATGTGTCATTGGAATACCTTCACGGGGCATTTAAACGTGACAAAAAAGACGGGGTAAGAACTCTATTATGAAAGTATAAGCTTCGGCAAGCTGAAGTTGATGTACTATAGAATCCGTATATTCGGAATATTTGTTAATGAGTATAGCCATAGTAATCTACACATATATATTCTGGGGGTTTATAATTTCAGAATATCAAAAAAAAATGTTTTTTAATTGGACAACTACATTTTTTGTTTTTATAACTGAAAATATTATGTTAAAGAAAAACAAATTTGAAGTGAAATCAAACATTTTTTTCCGTTGGCAAAAGCCCGATCGCATGAAGTTAACAAATCCTCCTTAACAGGTTGTTATTTAACGGTTCCCTTTTATGAAATGCTAACGGCAAAGAAGCCTGACGTCTAAAATCAATTACACTAATTGCAATCCGACTTTATTTTGGAATCTCGATCAGCGAGAGTATGTCGTGTAAATCCGGCCAAGCAAGACATCATGAAACATTTTAGTAACTTTGTTTTTTTTAACGATTAACTTTCAACATTTACCTACGAATATAAATAATATAGCCAAAAAAAAACAACATATCCAGGCATATAAAAAAATCATGGACGTTTGCTTACTTAACTTTATAGTATTCTTTTTTATTTTGATTGCTTTATCAATAAAAATGTCCGTACCTAGTCAAAAATGCTACCCCTAACTTTAATAAATAACCTTAAAGCACTCCGACTTCGCTTACATGGATCTTTATCATTTTTTTTTTCTGACCCATTGCTAAAATTAGTTATGCCTTATTTTCGTTATTCGTCTTAAAAAAACTCACAAACAAATAATATCAAGGCAGAACGTTATAATCAAGTTCATTGATACCCGTTATTCAGTTAAAGGGAGCGAAAGGGTGATGGAGATATGAAAGCAGCTTTGCTACTTTTTTCGAGGTTGCATCGTGGTTAAACCTTCTCAAGTCTTATTTCAATTGAAGGTAATACATAAGTTGGAAGGAGCTGGATCGAACAAGTATATCCTATATCCTATAGGATCGACAGGATACGTCGGGGCCACGACTATTCGACGTAGCTAGAGCAGACCTCACAACAGTCGACCGAATCTCCGAACGTCTCGTCGTAGCGATCTTGCTCCTTGCTGACTTTCACGGCTGTATCTGCTCGACTTTGATTTCAATTGACCTTGTTGACTGGTCCAGCTTCCAGCACTGGACCCGCTTATATAGGCCCCCTGGTACCGTTAGTCCTCGGCCTCTCCTTGTCTCCTCTGCACTATACGAGGGTCCAAAGTCCAAGATTTTACCGTTCGACCATTCGCCATCTGCGCACGCCCTTTATCTCAGCTCTTTCTCTTAAAGCTCCGTTCTCTCCCAATTCTCTCTATCTTCTTATTCTTCGTACTCTCCAACCTCTCTTTAACTGCATTACCCAAACTCTTTTCCCGCATTTTAAAATTCTATAAATTTCATCCTTATTAATAGAGGTGAATAGATTACTTAAAAGTCCATAGGTTGTGATCGCCTTAAGATATGATTAAAACCTTAAATGAAAATCTGTCGAAGGGCATCAAAGCAATTTATTAGCATATTTATTTGCATATCAATAAACTTGATTACAAACTCTCGAAGATATCTTTAATCAGAACATTTAATACCACACGTTAGGATCAAAAACTAAGTTACTATGATATAGTAATCCGATTTGTGTTAAATTTTATTCGAAGTTTTGAAATAGTAAAGCAAGTAATATCTACAAATTACTACTAATATGTCAAAAACACCGAAGTTATAATTTTTAGTTAAAATTTTTTTTTATCATTCCAATGGGAGCTATAAGACATAGTTGTCTGATCCGGCTCGTTCTGTCTTATATACAACCTGCAAAAAAATAAGACTTTTGGGAAGGTTTAATTCACGCATGTCCTGTCTTTCCGAAGGAAGTTTTCTTTCTTATTATTTTTTTAGGTCCTTCAATTGCTTTTACTTTCTTGTGCTTGTGCAAATCCCTAGGAAATATAGTCGTTACTATAACTAATACTAAAATTATAAAATATCTGCAATGTCTATCTTGTAGTTTCAAAAGAGCAGCGAGCACGCGCTTTTTTCAAATTCGGTTGTCGACGTTTTTACGCAATTGACGCAATGTTTCGATGTTGTTAGCAAACTCGAGTGTCCTGATCCAGAAATTTGGAAACGTTACATGAGGCGTTTTGCTAAAACAATCGTAAAAGTGCTTATAGCTTATGCGGATATTGTAAAAGTAGAGTTTCCAGATCATATGAAGGATGAAAGAATTGTGAGTAGAAAAATAAGCGGAGAATCGAACACCTACGCGCTTTTTTTTATTAACCCATTTCTTGTGCCATTGCGGCTATAGGCTTGCATACTTATGAACAATATTCAACAACTAAGGGTGCAATTGGAAAAGATGTTTGAGTCAATGGGAGGAGATAAGCTAGAGGAGGATGCAGCCAATATTTTAAAAGAACTTCAGCAGAATCTTAACTCGGCGTTGGACGATTTGGCATCACAATTTGCTATCAGGTGGGTTATACTGCGACCCGAAACATACAGTACAGTAAACATAATTTGTATTTTGAGTTTAGTTTGGAGCCACGAATAACTCAGTCGGTGAGAGAACTAGGTGATATGCTGCTTTCTATTAAGGGAGGCAGTGGAACTCTGGCGGCTGGTAACCTAGCAGCTCAAAGGAACGCCGTCGCCGTTGAGGCAGATGAAGTTTTGAGACCGCTCATGGATTTACTTGATGGTTCTTTAACACTTTATGCCCAGTCATGTGAAAAAACCGTACTGAAGAGATTACTAAAAGAGCTATGGAAGATCGTAATGCGAATATTAGAGAAAACCATTGTTTTACCACCAATGACTGATAAAACCGTTCGTATACTGATTATAAATCTTTAGGTCGTGAAATTGATGTATAATTTTTTAAATAGATGATGTTTAAGCACCTTACTGACAATGCAAAAAATTTAGCATCCAATGCAAAAATTGAAGACATGGGACGATTGTTCAAGTCCCATATGGCAGGAAAACAGGATGTCAAAAGTGCCCTTAGCGGGGTAATGGACATATCGAAGGAAGTCGAAAAAAATTTGTCACCAAAACAATGTGCCGTGCTTGACGTTGCCTTAGATACAATAAAACAATATTTCCACGCCGGTGGCAATGGACTGAAAAAGACATTTCTAGAAAAATCCTCTGAACTGCAAAGTCTACGTTACGCACTCAGTTTATATACCCAAATGACCGACACCTTAATCAAAACGTTTATATCTAGCCAAGTCCACGAGGGTAAGTACAGCTGAAAGTGCTCGAAATGTAATGAAGTTTTTATTTTCATATTCTCAGCTAACAAATTTTTTCAAATAATTTTTTTCAACAGATGACTAAATGAAATAAGCGATTAGGCCGTTAATTTTTCATTTTTGTTATTTTGCAAAGACCTTTTAAAGTTAAAACGAAAGAAGGCTCACCCATGTCTTGGCCTTTTTTTAATGTTTTTCTTTTTGACAATTTTTTTGAAGCGCCATTAGAACTTGAAACTTTGAATTTGTTACAAAGTAAATTTAAAAATTATTAAAAGTTTAAAAAATAAAAACTTTTGGTTAAGGATATTTGGATCATACAATAGCCGGTAGTCACAAATCTAGCTACCAGTTATAAAAAGAGGTTTTACCAGTTTGAAACACGAGGCTTTGAGAAGAATTCCTTTTTGGTGCTGTAACTTTCGAACATAATTGAATATTGAGAAACCCTTGTAGCCACATATTTTGTATAAATTATACTTGCGATTTATGCAAAAGTTTCATGCTTAAATTGCATTTTTAATTAATACAGTTGATCCTGAAAGCGCAGAGGAAAGTGTCGGCGAAATTTCCGTGCAAATAGACTTATTTTCCCATCCAGGCACTGGCGAACATAAAGTGAACGTGAAAGGTAAAGTAAACTACATTTTGAAAAAATATGTATTTAATATATTGTATTCTCTGCCTTAGTCGTTGCTGCTAATGATCTAAAATGGCAAATACCGTCGGGAATGTTTCGACCATTTGTTGACATTAATCTAATCGGACCACACCTGCAAGAAAAAAAACGAAAATTCGCTACAAAGTCAAAGTCCAACAATTGGTCACCCAAATACAACGAATCTTTTAGTTTGTAAGTATTTTGTTGTAAAACATAAGTACTAAAATCGTGAACTGTATTACAATGCCTTTCTAGCACCATTGGAAATGAGGAGCAGCTAGACTTTTTTGAGTTGCACATTTGCGTTAAGGACTATTGTTTTGCACGTGATGATAGACTTGTAGGCGTTGCTGTAATTCCACTAAAAGATATATCGGAAAAGGTTTGGAGTATTTTTCAAAATATAACATTTTATTTATACAATATATATATTATAATTTAAAGGGCTCTGTCGCATGCTGGTTACCCTTAATGAGGCGTATTGAAATGGATGAGACTGGTTGGACCATTTTAAGGATTTTGTCACAACGTAATAATGATGAAGTAGCCAAGGAATTTGTCAAGCTGAAATCTGAAATAAGGCAGGAGCCAACAATGGGCACATAAGAACGGCAGCACGTACTACTCAATCTCCAGAACTACACCTTCAATGTTAAATATTACAAAAAATTTTATTTTACAAAACAAATTATATTTTATTTATTTAATTTAATTTTGTTATTATTGAAAACTGTTTATCGGCAACAATCTCATATAGAAAAAATCATACATAAAATATACAATATATATATATATATATATAATTCCTTTATCTATGAAATCTATGTATGTTATAAACGAAATGCTCTGTGACGATTAAAATAGTATCATAAATCTGTCACATTTAAGAAATGACCCACATCAAACCTCCAAGATTATAATGTCCTTAACAATATTAAAATTCGCACTCAGATTTTCACAAAAATGATCATACTAACTTCTGGCAATACATATTTACGTACGTCTCTAAATCTGCATACTCTCGTACATTTGTACATAATGCTGGCCAGACGCAGACATATTTGGTTACGAAATCCATTTTTCATCTGTACATTTAAAAATCACTAAACGCACATTCCTATTTGTGTAAATAAGTACCTGTATAAATATTAATTGGAAATTCTGGAAAACATTTGTTAAGGATACATACTTCACATAAACAATAAGTCCATATGAATTCTTATTTTTTTCTATTGCAATAAAATTTAAATAGTATTTAAATTGTCGAAATAAATATCAACATTTCATCATAGATTAAAAAAAATTTATTTAGATTTCGACTTTTCTAATATCACTTTGAAGGCAAGATGTTGTGATCCGGGCAAATTGTTTGGCGATTATATGACATCCACAGATTCGTACGTATCCAATCAGGTATTTAATGTTATTTAGTAAACACATAAGAAAATCTATTTCTTTAAAACAGTTTTGCAAACTTTTGTCTGAAAACCTGGCTTTTTTAAAAGTTTATAATTATTTTTTGTAAAATTTGCATCTTTACAATATACATAGTGGTGGCCATTACTTAAGCACTTTCTCCTACAATCGGAATCATTTTAAATTTTTGTTTCTAAATGAAGGGCTCGATTTATTTTTTTTAATAACAGATTTGTACCTATTAATTTATTTTATTTATTTATATAAAGCTAGCTTAGAGTTAAAACTATAGGCTAACTAAATTTAAGAGCTCTAGCAGCTAAGGCCTTCAGCTCATCTAAGGTGTGGGATTAACAGCATTTTTATATACATTTAAATTTTAAGCTTAATTTGGGCATTTTCAAGAAATGTGATGATTTTTTTGATGTTGTCGGGGGTTGGGTTTGAGATGGTGTTGATGGGGTTAAGTGATTGGAAGGATTCTGATCTGGGTTGGGATAAGGAAGGGCAGTGTATAATGATATGTTGGATGTCTACTGGGGAGTGGTGGCAGAATGGGCATGTGTTGTCAGTTTGGTATGTCCTAGTCGTATCCGGTGTATGAGTATTTGTGTTTTCCTATTGGTGTTTGGGGGTAACTGACAGATGTATTGCGGTGAGGTCTGTAGAATTTGTTTGTACCAAGGCGATACATTGTTGTAGATGTCAGCTTGTTTTGATTGTATTGTACCTATTAAATAATCAATAAGTACTGCTAATTTGACGTTTTTTCAATGACGCGTTACTGTGCACCATTTAATTGGTTATATCATCACCCCGTTCCCAATCCGGCTTCCACTCCCACAGGGCCCATGTTGGCATGTTGTTCATCGGAGCTGAACTGCAGATGGCGCTGAAAAGATGGCGAAGCATCTCCGAAACAATAAGGAAGCATTAAACTACTACTTTACATAACTAAAAAACATCCGTTAAACATTGTATAATTTCATACCCGTTACTCGTAGAATAAAAGGGTATACAAGATTCGTCGGAAAGTATGTAACAGGCAGAAGGAAGCGTTTCCGACCCCATAAAGTATATATATTCTTGATCAGGATCACTAGCCGAGTTGATCTAGCCATGTCCGTCTGTCCGTCTGTCCGGATAAACGCTGAGGTCTCGGAAACTATAAGAGTTAGACTACTGCGATTTGGCGTGCAGATTCCTGAGCTTCTTACGCAGCGCAAGTTTGTTTCAGCAGCGTGCCACGCCCACTCTAACGCCCACAAACCGTCCAAACCTGTGACGCCCACAATTTTCATGTTAGACAAAAAATGTTAACTGAAATGTATTGGTCTCGTCAATACCTATCGATTGATTCAAAAAAAAAGTTGCCACGCCCACTTTAACGCTTAAATCTGTGTACCGCCGGTAGGTGGCGCATTTTAATCTCGCTTTTCTGCTTGCATATCTCCATTTCCCTTTGGTCCGACTTTTTCTTCCATAAGAAATACACTTGGTCCCGATGGAATTCCTGTTTGCGTGCTTAGATGTAGTGCAGAGGCCTTATGCAAGCCCTTTCTCAAATTGTTTACCTTATCTTTAGAATCTTCACAATTTCCCCGTATGCTCGTATCGTTCCCCGTATCGTTTGTAATTCCTCTCCACAAAATGGAAGCAAACAATTATAGAGGTATATTTAAATTGTCAGCGATCCCAAAGGTTAGTTAGGTTAACCCGGACGGCCCGGATTAGTTAAGAGGTTTTTATATTCACAAGGATCGAGGTGTTTTCCGAGTGTGTTTGCGTGTGATCCAGCCAGACAATGGCCTGTGAGGATTCCCACTAACAGTCTGCAGTCTTTCCGTGGTAGATGCAGTACATAGTGGCTGAGTTTATTTTTGCGCTCTTTGCACATAATTCTTGAGATTCGGCAAGTCTTAGTATTCCTTCACCTGCTTTTTGCTCGCGTGTCCGTCTGTTTCTCCAGGGCGCTTTGTAGCGTTCGCAGAGAAATTTGCACGTTCTCCGTTCTGTCGTGCGTCAGCTCTATGCCCTCCTTTGCAAGAACGTCAGCTGTCTCGTTGCCACCGTTGCCCTGGTGGCTGGGAAACCCAATAGATCCGCACTGACTTTGTCGTGCTGAGGCTATCTAGTGCCTCCCTGCTCGCCATTACATTTTTGGAACTGACCGTTGACGACTGCATGGATCTTATCGCCGCTTGGCTGTTCACGAACAAGTTGACCACATCATGTGGTCGGTTTATATTTTGAGCCACTTCTGCCGCTTTTCTTATGGCAAAGACTTCTGTCTAGAAAATGCTGCAGTCGCTGGGTAGCTTATAAGACAACCCGTTATGCAGACCAATGCCTGCCGCTGAGTTCTCACCATAAGCTTTGTGTAAGTCGTCTTTTTAGTGCCGTGCCACCACACTAAGGCTCCATACAGCAGAGTCGGACGCACCACCGAGATGAAGATCCAGTGCATCAGAGTAGGTGACAGACCCCATGTGCTGCTAAGCATCTTCTTGGATGCATATAGCGCCTTTTTTCTGGCCTTTTTCACCCTTTCCGCTACATTGGGTCTCCATGCCAGCTTGCAGTCCAGTACTGTGCCGAGGTATTTGACCTGTGTTTTCGGGGTCAGTCTGGTTGCGCCAATTTTCGGGGGTGTTCATTTCGGTACCTTGTATCTCATAGTAAAAAGAATGAGGTCCGTCTTGTCCGCATTGATACTGAGTCCCACCTTTTCCGCCCACTCACATATTTCCCTGAGTGTTATTTCCTTATGGAGCTGAGGGTCGATGGACAGACTCCCGTAATAATTATGCCTTTGTCGTCCGCATAGGTTGTTTTTTTTTGTGCTGTCCTCTCTAGTCTCTTAATTAGATCGTCGACCACCAAATTCCATAGGAGAGGCGAGAGGACCCCATGTTGTGCTGTGCCTCTGTGTGCCCCCCACTCTGAAAGTACCCGCCTGCAGCTAAGCAGGTTTCTTATCTAGAGGCTTATTTCGGGATACGTGTTGGTCGCTTCTAGGCGATCCATTATAGCTTCCGTTTTGACATTGTTGAATGCTCCGGATATATCTACGAGTACTCCAAGCGCATATTACTACTAGAGAGTGTAGTGCCGTTTCCACAGATTTCCTTTTGGTGTAGGTGTGTTGGTTGAATGACATGAGTCTCCCTACATTATTCCTGATGTGTAGATCCAGCAGATTTTCCAGTGTTTTGAGTATGAAAGGGGTAAGGCTTATCGGCCTAATCCTTAGGGCTTGCGTGACTGCACATTCCCGCTTTTGGGAGGAAGACAATCCGAGAGGTCGTCCATTGGATTGGGATAGAGCCCGTGCTTAGACATGCCGAGTATATTTGATATAGCCATGGGGTGATCCTTTCCTTGGTCACCTGTAACATGGCTGGAAATATTCCATCTAGTCCTGGTGCCTTTTAGCCCGCAAAGGAGTCTATAGCCCAGTTGATTTTCCTAGGTTTTATTAGATCGTTGCTAAGTCCTGATGCGAGCTGGCGTCTAGGACATCCTGTGAAGTGCGATTGCATATGTGCTTCACTGCCCTCAGTCCACTGTCCGTCGTCGCATTTTAGCTGACTCTGTATTCCACCATGGTGGCTTGGTCTTCTTCCTTGTTCTTGACGACGGGCATGAAACGTGATACGCATCCACTAGTTCCTTGGTCTAGGATCTCTAGGGCCGTTTCTATGTCTTTCACGGATTTTACTACGCCCGGCCTAGTCGCGAGCTTCGAGGTAACTGTCCTTGTAAACTTTTCCCAGTTCGTGTTCCAGGGGTTTCTATAGACAGTTACCTTTGGAGTACTTTTAAAATTATACCTTAACTGAATACCTATGGTCTAAGAAGGATGGTGTTTTTAGGACTCTCCATTCTGTACTCTGTCCCTATACAAGCGTTATATCCAGCACGTTTGACGAGGTAGGACCCACGAAGATGTGTTTGCTTTATATAAGTTAGTATTTAAATTAAAGTCTAAGAGTGACTCACCTCTGTCGTTGATGTCGGAGCTTCCCGACACGCTGTGGAGTGCATTGGCATCTGCACCAATGAGGAGTTGGTCATCCTTCGAGCCGAATTCCACCAAGCTGCTCAGTTTGTCTGGTGTCGCTGGTCAGTCGTGGCCATGTAGCAGGAGGCTACCAAAAGGCGCTGCTCCACGCTTTCTATCATCACAGTAGTCAAGTCATCAGAGCTGTAATGGGGCATAAGGTTAGCATGGATACCCTTCCGCACAAGTACGGCGCTTCTGTTCCTGCTTACCGTTGATGAGTAGAATGTATTGTAGTTTGAGGACCTTAGTCCGGCCACGATATTGCCCGAGGCAATCCATGGAACCAAGCCAATCAGGGCAATTAGGAGCTCCGCCGACGCGAGTCTGCTTTTATGGAGATTGAGCTGCAGCACCCTCCGTGTCATGGGTGGCTGGCTCCGCTCGACGGGTTGGCTATAACAGTCAGGTGCCTGCAGGATGTGTGCGCTTTTGTCGTCGGAGTGGCGCTTCTTAAGACGCAGGTATACACTACCCATGCCCCACGCCATCTTCCCGTATCTTGGGTACAGCAGATCCTCCGCCTCCTTGTTGATTTGGAGAACCATACTTTGGCCCCCCTCGTTGGGTAGTGGGGTGGCCATGCACAGAATCTTCCAATTTGCCGTTGGGACGTCTGGGTTCTGCCGTTGAAGCAGCTTTAGCGCCCGATCCCCTTGGATTGCGATGAGGAAGAGCACTTTCGCTTTCGGTATGGATGGGATGGTTTGTCCACTACCTCTAGCTTGGTCCCCTCCCACAACGCCTCCAGTTGGCAGTCCGTTTGCGTAAGCCAATTCCTGGTCGGATCGTCGTTGCACTTCAGTATTTTGACACCTTTAACCACCCTGCACCACCGAATGAGGGCATGGGTGCTGTGGGTGTCTCTTCCATCCGTTCAAGGAGAGACTCAACGACTCGCGCATGGACGATCTTCCGCTTTGTCCTGGAGCCTACTCGTGATCTTATGGGCTGCCTTGTATTGCGCCTTAGCCTTCATCCCCTCGCTGGTTTGCTTCGGCCCTTCCCTACGCGGGTATGGCATCTTTCGTCTTCGTGTAGCACGTTTCAGGGGCTCGACCGCTGGCGACACGCAAAGAGAATTGCTCCTCCACGTGCCCGCCGATGGAAGCAGTCGTACTCGACGTTTGGGCTGACATCCCAGCTTTGATTTTTTCCTTCTCACCGTCCATACTGCTTCGTTTTTCAGGGGATCCACCCACATGCGTTTTATGCCTACCGGCAGGGACCTTCAACCATGGCCACTGATTCAAGGGGTTGAACTAGTCGCCTTAGTTAGACACTACACTACCTCGGGCAGGACAAGCGACATTGCATTACCATGCTCGGGGTAATGCAGTGACCATTTCCCAGCCGGCACCCTCGTGGAGGGTTCAGCTGGAGGATTTTCGCTAGCCAGCGATCCCAAAGTTCTTTAAAAAAAATACTCCTTATTCTCAGCATTTCTGTAGGTTAGTAATATCTCCGTGTCAACACGGGTTTATAAAACGTTGATCAACAACCACTAACCTTTTTATACCCGTTAATCGTAGAGTAAAAGAGTATACTAGATTCTTTGGAAAGTATGTAACAGGTAGAAGGAAGCGTTTCTGACCCCATAAAATACATATATTCTTGATCAAGATCTCTAGCCGAGTCGATCTAGCCATGTCCGTCTGTTCGTTCGTATGAAGAGATTTCGGAAACTACAAAAGCTAGACAGTTGGGACTTGGCATGTAGATTCCTGAGCTTCTTGCGCAGCGCAAGTTTGTTTCATTAGTGTGCCACGCCCTCTCTAACGCCCACAAACCGCCCAAACCGGTGGCTTCTACAGTTTTAATGCTAGAATAATAGTTTTAACTGAAATGTTCTATTCTCATCTATACCTATCGATTGACCTAAAAAAAGTTTGCCACTCACACTTTAACGCTCGCAAACCACCCACAAACTTCAAAAAATAAATAAATACTCAGAGGGGACCAAACAGTTCTAACTTGTAAAATTATCGTGGCGTCACTATTCCATTTTCACTACGCTTGCCTCAATGGAAATCTCATTCTTGATCGTATTGCTTATATTAATTTAAATATTCATTTGTCGCTGAAAACATTCCACATGTTAGCGTTAATAATAAAATAGTTTAGCGTTGATTTCCATATTGTTCGGAGCAACTGAAGACGTGCAAATCTTATCCCTTCGGCTACGGATTTCTTATGCCAATCAGCTGTTCGCTTGAAGCAATTTAAAAAATCAATTTTGAAAATCTAGCTACGTTGCCTCTGAATATAGTCCAGGGTATAACGTTATTTTAAGATTTCAGATTTTAATTTTTGAAGCCTAGTAGTAACACCGACGAAACCAGCAAGCTAGCCATAGGAGTGAGAAAGAGGCGAATGCGTGGCTAACGCTTTTTGTCGGGTCTGTTTTTCAGCGCAGTACTCAGGTGAGCTAAGGAAATACCAGAAAAAATACCTGATTTAGCGAGTGAATTTCGATGAACGCCTTTAGGCGGTGCCCAAAGAATAAGAAATTTAATCTTTGGCGGTGTTCGTGCTAAAGCGGGGTGGAATTGAAAAATTAAAAATGGAAGGAAAGCCCCAAAAACGCCTAAAGGAGGTCAGTGCAGATGAAAAGGGACGCCTGATCCAAGCTGTTGCCCATTGTTGTGGGTTTTCACCGACAGAAAGTAATAGTGTGGGATTTTGCCGAGTGGGATTTTGCTCGATCTCCGATGAGCTCTCCATTGAGGAACCACAGGATTCCACCTTCACCAGCTACTTGGCAGCTAAAGTGGAGATGGAGGACGCGATGGCTTCTATAGGGAGGAGGAAAAAAAGGCTCCCGCTAAAGGACAGCTGTAGTAGCCATGCCAGGACCCTGGGCGATTTCTTCCAGCATTAGCGGAACAACCCCGTTTCCAATCCGGCCCCCACCTCCTCAAGGTCCAATATGCCTATTGGGACTCGGAGCTAAACTGCAGATGGCGCGGGAAAGATGGCAAAGCATTCGTGGGACGAAAAGGAAGCTTTAATTACATTAATACAACCGTTCATTGCACATTCCACTTATTAATATTTTAATTTCTTTATGTATTTATGATTTGTTTTTCGTTTGTCAACAAACTCAGCGGCTTGACAGTAAGACCATGCTGCATGCATTGCCGCTAAACTGTGACAACTTTGGTCACTCTATAAAGAACACGACTTTTCAACTAGTGCAACTCTTAGCCGATCTGAGTACTGGGCTTAGGCCAAACAGCGTCTGCGTGGCTGCGTATGAAGAAGGAAATAAGGAATCTACCAAGAGTCACAGTTTTCATAATTTTATTAATTATATTCGAAACAGCTGGGGTTTTTGAAGCTCCGATTACCACAGAGGGCATCCACCATATATCATCCGATAAGAGCTAATCTGAACAGCTGTGGCTAATCATAACATACCTGGTGCTTCGGCGATTTACATTTTTATATATTCCTTGTCATCATTGTTTACGTTTTCGTAGTGAATGTTAAAGTTTTCACTGTCAAGAAAATTGAATTCAGAATTTGACCGAAAAAAGACTATCTGTTCAACGGATGGTAGATGGGATTTAAGTCGTCTAAGTACATTTGAATTATATGTCTCAATATGTAATAATTTTGCTTATATATATAATGGGGAGGTTAAACTTCCTTCCTCTCTCCGCGCCCCTGTCATGACATATAATATCTGTGCACCAATAGGAAAAAATACCAAAGAATTCCTATAAACACCGGACAACCGAGACCCTACTTTTACTCACCTCCTGTTGCCGACGAAAACCGTGAGCTAAAGAGGAGATAGAGAAGCCCAGGTTCTTGACAGTAAGACCATGCTACATGCTTTGCGGCTGAATTTTGAAAACTTCGGTCACACTACAAAGAATATGATTTATCGACTAGTGAAATTCTTAGCCGATCTGAGTACAAGGCTTTAACCAATAACCATATAACTACATAAATAAACCATAGTGTAAACAAGCTTTCACAAACGTAAAAATTTTTGATTCCAATTCAAATTTTTCTATTCTTTACCAAAATGTTTTCCGTTTTTAAAGCATATATTTTAGCATTTCCTGAAGGATGCAAAGCTAATTTAAATTTACAAACGAAGTTGTTTGGCTGCAACTAAAAATGCATTCAAAATCTTTAAGTTAACAAAATAGAAATGTGTATGGTGTTAAGGAGCTATATGATAAAAGAAATGAGTAATAACCTCTTTCCACAGAGATCCATCCACCATCTACCTTGCATGCATTTTTATCGCGGAAGGCACTATTTAGCGACTTCAAGAAGATGAAAACGATCGTCCGGATCGCGGAAGTCACTCCCGTCATAGAGGTGGAGAAACTTTGATGGAAACACCGATGCATCGATCTTTTAAAATATTTTAGAAACGTCGATGTTTCTTGGCGACAATCGATGTTTTTGTCACATCACCAAGTTCAGAGAAATGGTGCGGAAGGTATATAAGCGATAAATGTGTTTATAAATTAAGTTATTTACTGTACTAACATATTTTTCCATTGAGGCCACGATCGCCTTAGAAACTTTACACGCCAGGATGAAAAAACGATTCGGACATTATGAACCGGGCACGGTGCCCCGCATCGCAAACCTTATTGATCCTCGCTTCAAAAACGACCGATTTTAATCACCCAACAATGCTGAGCAAGCGGCAAAAGCTTTGTAGTAGGAACTTCATAGTATAATCGAGAAATCTCGAATGGAAAATCCACACAACTACCAGTTGATCCCGGTCCGTACAAGGTTTTTTCATTCTTTAAGCCTAGTACTCAGATCGACGAAAACCGCGAGCTAACCATAGGAGTGAGCGAGAGGCAAATACTCGGCTAACGCTTTTCGTCGGGTCTGTTTTTCAGCGCGGTACTCAGATGAGCTAAGGAAATACCAGAAAAAATACCAGATTTCTCAAGTGAATTTACGATGAACGCCGTTAGCCGCGGCCTAAAGAATAAGAAATTTAATCTTTGGCGGTGTTTGTGCAAAGGCGATGTGGAAACTAAAAATTAAAAATGGAAGGAAAACCCCAAAATCGGATACAGGAGGTCAGTGCAGATGAAATAGGACGCCAAATCTAAACTGTTGCCATTTATTGTCGGATTTCACCGACAGGCAGCAATACCACAAAAGGGGACCATTCGCAGAATAGTTGAGGTGCTGGAGGAGATCCGCTAGGGAATCCCCGTGTGAAGAAACATGTCCAGTGGGACTTCGCTCCCTACATGGACATCGTGCCGGGCGCGTCCTCGCAAAGAAAGTAAGATCTGGCCGAAAGGATTTGGTTACGTTGTACTAATAGAAGTATATTTTTAGCAGAACCACCAACTAGCTAATTGGCAGCTTCCCGCGCCACCGCAGTCCAGCTCCGAGACCCAATGGGCATAGTGGACCTTAAGGAATTGGGAGCGGGGTTGATCCGCTGATGCTGCAGAAAGTCGCCCAGCATCCTGGAAATGGCTGGCTATGGTTTCTCCAACTGTTCCTTAGCGGGCGCCCTATTTTCCTCCTCCCTATAGAAGCCAGCGCGTCCTCCAGTTCCTCTTAAGCTGCCAAGTAGCTGGTGGTGGTGGTATCCGCAGTCCTAATGAAGTACAACGCAACCAAATTCTTTTGGCCAGATCTTACTTTCTTTGCGAGGACACGCCCGGCAGGATGTCCATGTAGGGAGCGAAGTCCCACTCGGATATCCTCCAGCACTGCAACTATTCTGCGGATTCGCCTTGTTGTGGTATTGCTTCCTGTCGGTAACATCCCACAATGATAGACAACAGCTATGATTAGGCGTCCTTTTTCATTTGCACTGACCTCCTGCAGTCGACTTTGGGGTTTTCCTTCCATTTCTAATTTATACTTTCCACACCGCCTTTGCACGAACACCGCCAAAGATTAAATTTCTTATTCTTAAGCCCGCGGCTAAAGGCGTTCATCGAAATTCACTCGCTAAATCTGGTATTTTTTCTGGTATTTGCTTAGCTCATCTGAGTAGTGCGCTGAAAAACAGACCCGACGAAAAGCGTTAGCCTCCTATTTACCTCTCGCTCACTCCTATGTTTAGCTCGCCGTTTTCGTTGATATAAGTACTAGGCTTTTGATTCTCAATTAAAAGGAGATAAATTCACCGCGAGCCGACGCTGTGATCCGACTATCCGAAAATATGCAACCCAATGCACTGTTTGAAAATGAATTTTGATTAGGTTATTTTCAAAAAAGTTAAAGTTCATGTTCATTAACAAAATAGAAAATATATTTTCGTAACTAAGCTGTATATAATACTATAATATAAATATTATCTCTTAGAATACTGAAAATCTTTTTTTTTAAATTTGTATTCTGAATAAAGCCGTTGTTTTTTTTGTTTTAGTGTTATCAATAAAAGTCTTTCAATTGCGCTATATTAATTTACTAATTTATTTAAAAGCAAAAAAAAATTATTTTTTTTAAACATTGATGTCTTATAGAAGTTTTTTCGAAAACATCGATGATTCTCCACCATACAACAGGTAAATACGCGGCTTACGCTTTTTCGTCGGGTCTGTTTTTCAACGCGCTACTCAGCTGAGCTAAGGAAATACCAGAAAAAATACTAGATTTAGCTAGTGAAAATCGATGAACGCCGTTAGCCGCGGCCCAAAGAAAAGAAATTTAATCTGGCGGTGTTCGTGCAAAAGCGGTGTGGAATTTAAAAATTGAAAATGGAAGAAAAACCCCCAAAAACGACTGCAGGTTGTCAGTGCAGTTAATAAATAACTCATATTCCAAGCTGTTGTATATTACTGTGGGACTTCGCCAACAGGGAAAATCCGCGGAATAGTTAAAGTGGTGGAGGGGGTCCACTAAAGAATCCTAGTGGGAAGTACATGCTGAATGGGACTTCGCTCTCTACATGAACATCCTGCCGGGCGTGTCCTCACAAAGAAAGTAAGTTCTCGACACAAAACTTTGGTTTAGATGTAGTAATAGAGAAAACGTTTTAGCAGAACCACCAGTAATACGATCTCCGTCGAGCTCGCCATTGGGGAAACACTAGACTCCACCACCACAAACTAGCTACTTGGCCGGAGATTGGCTTCTACAGGGTGGAAGAGGAAAGAACGCCCGCTTAGGGACAGCTGGAGGAGTCATTACCAGCCATTGACAGAATGCTGGGCGAATTCTGCAGCATCAACGGAACAACCCCGTTCTTGATCTGATCATGGTCCAATATGCCTATTGGGATTCGGAGTGGGCTGCGGATGACGCGGGTAAGATGGCGAAGCATCCGTGGGACGAGAAGGAAGCTCTAAGCTACTAATTTACGTAAATAGAAACATTCGTTAAGTATTCCATTTATGTTTATTTTTATTTCATTGTTGTGCACCAGCTGGATCTTTTTTAATTGCTCCAATCGATTTGTTTTTCGTTTGACGGTTGCGGGTAAACTTTGAAAACTTCTGTCACACTACAAACAACAAGTTTTATGGACTAGTAAAACTCTTAGCCGATCTGAGTACTAGGATTTAAAATGTGCCCCTTCGGCGACACTTCTCGAAGTCACTTAGGTGACGCTTCCAGAAGTATTTATGTCCAGCTCCGTTGACATGAGGAATTTACCAATAGCCAAACCTAAAAGAAAAAGAAACATAAATGGTTTTTTGATCAGGCAAAATAAAAGTAAACTTGAATGCATTACCTTTTATTATCAAATATGTGAAGAATCTTTGGATGCTGGATTTCACTGCAGTTACAGGCCAAGTAATGTCCACAGCTAGCTTGCCCGTAAATATCTTAAAATATTAAAATATCTTGTTGACATTTTAATATGTTATACAATTAAACATATTTAGAAAAACAAAGCAATATTTGTAGACAAATCGCGAAACGAAATGACGCTCGGGTTAAAAATAATAGCGTGAGTCAAAAGGGAGACCCGGGGAATTTTCAGATATACAGGGGAATTTGTAAATTATCGCGGCCTCCTTTGATCGGGTGAACGTTGTTTTTTGTTTTCCTTTCTATCTCCTTTCCAACTTCTAGAAGCCATTTGGAATACAGTTTTTTTCCAATAATTTTGATTTTGTAAAATATGTTATATCGTCTTTTTATCGCCCAGACACTGCTTCGCGATGACAAAAAATTGTATGACGTATTCTATCATCCAGATGTGACTTCTTTGTTATTGTAAAATGTGTTCTATCGTCTTTATTTGGCGAAGAAGTTACTAAAAAGTGACTTATTCGCGATCCCGACCCTTCTGGTTTTTAAAAAAATTTTTTATATCGGACAAACCCGAGCTGTTTATAAATAAAACTGTTTCATGGGGATATGCTCTGTGGAATTAGGCTATAAAGCACATCAAAACCAGTTGCAGGAATGCCCCTAGCACTAAGTAAATTTGGGAGTAGACATGTTGGAAAGTGGCCACACTGGTTTCGACTGCATATTGTATTGGTATTGGTATTTTACTATAATATCGTACGTGTAAGTAAAGATTTTGCGATTTGAATTAATTTTTGTAATATTTCTTAATGTGATTGCCAAAAAAATGGATTTTAAATGGTTTGACGAAAGGCGAACATAAGTATTTACTCAATACACTTAACTTTCGCATATTGGCTATGCATCCTTACATTTGTTCACGCACCTGAACGCGCATTAGAGTGCTGAGCAAAAGTACATACAAGTGTATGTAGTATGTAGTTAAAATATTTATTATTTTTCTGTTCTTACTGTTGAGTCTGTTGCTATCAATATTTGCTCTAGTTGAAATAACGTTATTTAAAATATGGAAGAATGAAAATACATTAAATGTTAGATGGTGGCACTCAATAATTTTGAAAATGAGTGCATGTGTAATTACGTTTGTGTGTGATATTTCATTTCCATTTTTTAGGTTAGGTTGCTGTGTTGTCTTACTTGTTAATTCCCTTTATTTATACTGTATATTCGGTAATAACTTGGCAAGTTTTCTTATCAGTAATGAGCGCGCGTCCTTTTGATGGGAGTTATTAATTGGTCCCTTGCTCCGATTTCTCTGAGCAATGTTTCTCGTGATTTATTTTTTAGGCTTTAAGAGTAAAACTTTTTTAAACAAGAGTCGTTCAATTTTAACCCAGTTTTATCCCAATCTCCATTTAATCAGAACCAAAAACGATTTTTTTGGCGTTCTTCTGATAAATAAATTAATCAAGAAACTGAAAACATATTCTTTTTGAATTTAGCGTCAGCGTAACATAGAACAAGAGGCTACTGAAAATGACAGATTCGATGAAATTTGGTCCGGAATGGTTGCGCAATATGTCAGCCGAGCCATCGGGCTCTCCCAGTACCTACAACGTCAGTACTGGAGGCCCAAATAGCTCGATTGCAGTGCACAACCTGGGGAACAACACGACAGCCTCTGCATCGCGTAATCTATTTCCAGAATACCGGTACGGTCGCGAGGAAATGCTGTCCTTGTTCGATCGGAACTGTATGCTGCCGCAGATCCTGCCTTCGTTCAAAAAGCTTTTTGTGGAGAAGGTCCAATACCCGCTTGCTTTGACACCGAGCTCCGACGAGGACAACAACCAAAATATGCTTGGGAATAGCGTAGGTCAAATGATTTCCGTTGCCTTCCAGTATTGAAGTTTACTTTGCAAATAGTCGCGTCCTGCCTGGTTGCAGCGATCGTCCGGTGGATTTAGTACTGCCTCTCGGGGCACTGGACGTGGTGGGACAGTCGACCGGGGCCGAATACGCGGCAAATCTGTCTATCATCCTATATACCAACGTCCAAGTGGTCTTTACGATGAGGGCTTATCGGTAATATCCATCAAGGTAACTGAAAACACTTAAAGCAAGTTTTATTCGTTGCTACCTTATAGTTTTATTGTTGCAGGCTGAACGCACTTGGAGTGAACGCAACGGAACTGGCGATTCTGCAGTGACCAACATATCTAGTAGTGGCTCAGGTGCCATAGACTGGAACGGGACTCCAAGCTCAAGTCCTCGAAAAGACTTTTCCAGTCATCATCGCAACATGGAGAACTGGCGACGATCACGTAACGAAGACGGATCCGGAGACGGTCCAGTTGTCAGTGGTTCCATTAGCGGCCCTGACATAGCTGGTTGGAGAAGCGGTGGTGGCGCAGGAAGTACTAATTCCAGTTTTGGTACCAACAGTCATCGATGGGGTCAGTTACTTCCCATAATATTTTCTTTACAATTTGACCGAGTGGGATAGCCAGGATTTGGTTGAGGTCGTTTCAAACATTTTAATACAATGTTTTGCATGGGTTTTCTCCTGTTCAGGCAAATCGCTTAAAGCGCTCTGGCTACGCCCCTCTTTTGACCAGGGTTTAATATTGACCAAATCATAAAATGCTGGAGAGGAGCATAAGTACCTTAAGAACAGAGTTTTTCATCCGTTGCCATTCTACAAAGGAGGTTATAGTTAACTAGTTATATATTGCGGTGGAAACTTTATGAATTTATACTGCTGCCTCTTAAACCAATGTAATTTTGTCAATAAGCGACATTGTGTAAAATCACACGAATTTCCTATAAACCAGGGTCTCTATATTTTACCATTTGGTTTAATTAAAAATGTATTTAATGTTGAAAATGGTAAATTTTGTAAAAAGTTTTCTGTCGCAACATTCGATTATGGGCCGGTTTCTCGAGTCCCAGACAAAGTCCTGATAGCTATCTGTCTGAAAAAGTTAATGCCCAGATAAACTTGTAAAAGAAAATCGGGTTTCTCGACATCATTAATTTATTTTTTTTTAGAGAGTGCTGTTCATCACAAAATTTAACTGCAAAGAGGCAACACATCTTGCTTTGATAATTGCATCAGCGGTTTAGCTTTTGTTTATTTTTGAGGTTACAACATTTCATAATAGTGGACTTTGTGAAATCAGCTGCCATTTTATCAAGTCAAGTTAGTCATTTTTGACATTGACGCTGATGAAAACCTAACTTCCTTAGCAGGCTCTGTCCGAGAAATGTTAGCCGGCACCCGAGAAATGGGCCCTAAGTTGCGAGATCTTAGAAGTCCTTTTGCAATACCAAGTTCAACATAAATTCGAGGGCTGCATTTTATACTTTCTTAAGTAAAGTGAGCCAAATTTAAGTATTATTAATTATACAGTCCTGTGACTATTTTGACCATTCGTCCTGAAGCATTCGCGAACCATTTGACTTGAAGACTTTAATCGTATCAGTTCGTTGCAAAAGTAGTTTTAAGTGGTATGGGCAAGTTGAACTGGAGAATTTCTGACTCACATTTTTATACCCGTTACTCGTAGAGTAAAAGGGTATACTAGATTCGTCGTAGCAGGCAGAAGGAAGCGTTTCCGACCCCTTAAAGTATATATATTCTTGATCAGGATTACTAGCCGATCTAGCCATGTCCGTCTGTCCGTCCGTCCGTCTGTCCGTATGAACGCTGCGCAGCGCAAGTTTGTTTCAGCAGAGTGCCGCGCCCACTCTAACGCCCACAAACCGCCCAAAACTGTGGCTCTTACAGTTTTGCTGCTAGAATAAAAACTTTAACTGAAACGAATTGTTTTCATCAATATCTATCGATTGACCCAAAAAAAAGTTTGCCACGCCCACTCTAACGCCCATAACGCTTAAATCTGTCTACCGCCGGTAGGTGGCGCATTTCAATCTCGCTTTGCTGCTTGTATATTTCCATTTCCCTTTGGTCCCATTAGCTGAGTAACGGGTATCTGATATTCGAGGTACTCGACTATAGCGTTCTTCCTTGTTTTTGTTAAAGTTATGGTCTCAAAGGTTAGTGGGGATAGCAGTACCAAGACCCGCGACATTCTGGGAAAATATTATCCGTACGAAATTAATGGAAATTAAATTCTGTCTGGCTGTTAATTTAGTATCTAGTTCAATTTTTATACATACATCGATTCAGTTTTCATTAAAATAAGTTAAGAGTTAACGGCAAATTCCTTTGAATGTCTCTACTTGTCACTCTTTTTATACCCGTTACTCGTAGAGTAAAAGGGTATACTAGATTCGTCGGAAAGTATGTAACAGGCAGAAGGTAGCGTTTCCGACCCCACAAAGTATATATATTCTTGATCAGGATCACTAGCCGAGTCGATCTAGCCATGTCCGTCTGTCTGTCCGTCCGGATGAACGCTGAGATCTCGGAAACTATGGGAGCTAGGCTATTGAGATTTGGCGTGCAGATTCCTGAGCTTCTTACGCAGCGCAAGTTTGTTTCAGCACAGTGCCACGCCCACTCTAACGCCCACAAACCGCCCAAAACTGTGGCTCCTACAGTTTTGATGCTAGAATAAAAATTTTAACTGAAATGTATTGTTCTCACCAATACCTATCGATTGACCCAAAAAAAAGTTTGCCACGCCCACTTTAACGCCCACAAACCGCGAAAACCTGTGACGCCCACAATTTTCATGCTAGATAAAAAATTTTAACTGAAATGTATTGGTCTCGTCGATATCTATCGATTGATCCAAAAAAAAATTTGCCACGCCCACTCTAACGCTCATAACGCTTAAATCTGTATACTTCCGGTAGGTGGCTCATTTTAATCTCGCTTTGCTGCTTGCAGTTCTCCATATAGCTGAGTAACGGGTATCTGATAGTCGAGGTACTCGACTATAGCGTTCTTCCTTGTTTTGTTTATATTAGTCATATAGTCATAGTGGGTACCATACGGGTTGATCCAGCCTTGTCCGTCTGTCCGTTTCTACAAAAGCTACTCTATAAAAAATTATGTTCTAAATATTAGAAAACCATTTTTTCGGAGCATCCTAGTTTT